AATAATTTATTAATAGTTAGCCCCTTAAAGGAAAAGATTATTAAAATTAAAAAAGCTTTATTTAATAAATTTAAAATATAAGATTTAAAACTATATTCTTTTTACTTAAATATAGCTATTATATAAAATAGGAAAAATAAAAGTATTAAATTAAACTAAAATGCTTATTTAAAAAAGATTATTAAAGAATTAAATTAATAAAAGGTATATATTATTGCTATACCTATAAATATTAATAAAATTCTTAAGTTAATTAGTAAATAATTATAAAGTATTAAAGGAAAATATATAATAATATATAAAAGCTATTAATTATTTAATATATATTATTTTATATTTAAATAAATATATAAAGAATTTTATTTTAATATATAATAAAGCTATTTAATAAGTTTTATAATATTTTTATAAAATAATTAATTATAAATTATATTATTAAGGCAAACTATAGGATTTAATAAATTAAATTAATATTAATTAAACTAATTATATATAAATTAAACGGTTAATTATAAAATATATCTTTAATATTAATAGTAATATAATTAATTAAAGTTTAAAAAGGTAATAAAGTATAATATTATCCTTATATAAATTAAAATTAATAGGTTAAATATAAGTTATAAAAGAAGCAATATAGTTAAAACGTTTATTTTTAAAGCTAAATACTTATAAAAAATAAATAATAGCTATTATTATTTATAAAAACAATTAAGGGGCTATAGTTATAATAAAAAACCTTTAATTTTATAATAAAATAAAGTATATTCCTATTTAATAAGCTTTTTATAAAAAAGCCTTTTAAAAAGGAGATATTAAATTTTAATAGATTTATATATTTAAATAAATAGTTAATAATTTAATTAAACTACTTTTAAGGGATAAATTTATTACTTTTTAAAATATATTAAGTTTTTAACTATAAGGTAAGTAGGAAAATTATTAAATTTTATTCCTTATTAATTAAAAACCCTATAATAAGTTAAAACTTTAATTATATATATTAAAAAAAGTTAAAATAAAATAAATACCTTTAACTTTAATGTTATAAATATATATTTCTTTTAGGACTTATATAATTTATTTTAATAGGATTCTTATCCTTTAAGGCGCTTTATTTTAAAGAATTTAAAATATTTTAATGCTTTATTTAATTAATATTTAATTAAATTATACTTTAAATGTTAATATTATTAAGTTTTCTACTTATTTATAAATTAATTAATATTAAAAATATTAAAAACGATTAATATTATTACCTATAAAGCAATTAAATAGGTTACCTTATAGGAAAACGCTTTAAGGGGGTAAAATAATTAACATTAAGGTCCTTACTTTAAAAAAAATATATAAAAATAAAAATTATAAAAAGAATATACTTAAATAATTTTATTTATATATTTAATATATTAAAATCTTTAAAAATATTAATAATATAATTATAAAAGTTATTAAAGCTATTTTAATTTTAATTATTAAGCTTATTTAAATTATTAAATTTACCTTTACTTAAATTATTTAAATTTTTAATAAACTTTAAAAATTTATTATTAAATTTAAAAATATTTAAAATAAATATTAAAATATTCTTATAATAATTTTAACTATAAAAAGAATTACCCTTAATATTAAACTACTTTAAACTTTATTAAAGGTAAAGAAAATTACTATATATTCATTTATAAATTATTTCCTTTTATAATAAATAAAATTAAATAAATTAGTTTAATTATAACTATATTAAATATAAATAATAAAAATATTTTTAAATACTTTATAAAGGTATTAAATATTAATAAAAATAACTTTAAAATTATAATATTTAATATTTTAAATAGGCTTATTATAAAAAACCAATAAATAAATAAATAATAATATAATACATCTCCCACTTAACCTGGCCACCTAATTGACCTGGCCATATTTTTAACCTTTATGTACGCATTTAAAAATATTTTAATAATTATTTATATAATTAACTTAAACTAATTTAAATTTAAATTGTTAAACGTTTTTATAACATTTTTATAAATTTATATATTATAGCTAGGTTTACCATAAGCTCTATAATGCTGGGCATAAGTTTCCTTTCTTTTTATATAATAATTACCTTAATGTATGATGCAATTTTTTACTTTAAAAATACCCCGTACCTTTATTTAATCCTTAACATCTTTAATAATAAAAAATCTTTTACTTTATAATTTAATTCTTTTTATATAATAACATTTATTAAACTTATAATTTATTTTATAAAAGCTTTTAACCTTTCCCTTTAATAATATAAAATAATATATAATATTAGTTATATTATATATAATTTAACTTAACCCTTTAATAATAAATATAAAAAAGCTATTTTAATATTATATAATCCTTTATTTAATATATTTAAAAAGGGAATTAACTTTAGTTAAATTATTTAAAGTTATAATTATATAAAAATTAAATAATACTAAGAATAAAAAGTTAATTTAAAGTATAATTGTATAATTTAATTAATTAATGATATAATTTAAATTATATAATATTAAACTTATTCCTTTAAATCCTTTTTATATATTATTTAAAATAATTACTTTATTAAATATATAAAAAAATATAATTATAAAATCTTCCTTTTAAATATAAATAATATATACCTATATAAAGCTTTTAATTTACTTTTTATATAATTATTTTAAAAAGCTAAATATTTTAATATTAAATAATTAAAAGTAATAAAAGGAATAAAAAAATATATAAAAGGTAATAATATTATTTTTTTTATAATATAATTTAAATTTATATAAATAATAACTTTTATAACTAATGCATTTCCTACTTGACCTGGCTACCCAATTGAGCTGGCCACCCCCCTAACCTATATAAAAATCCAATGTTTCAATCTGTAATAACTTTACTAATATTGGTCCCACAATTTAATAATTAGTACCATTAGATCCGTTATTTAAAGGGGAATCCAACGGTATTTTTTACTATTTTTTACGAAATTTATTAAGCGAGATATTAAGCAATACACTAAAGGGGCGCTAAGCAAGGATTAATTTAGCGCTTACTTTAGCGTATTGCTTAATAACTTTACGAATCTAAGTCGTATAAATTAATGAAGGGTACCGTTAAATAGCTCTTTTTATTACGAATCTAATGGTATATTTTATTGTTTTATACGACTAATATTCGTAGAGTTATTAAATTATCACGTGATTAGCGCACCGACGTTTTTTGTATGGGCTGGTGGGGTGGCCAGGTCAATTGGGTGGCCAGGTCAAGTGGGAGATGCGTTATTAATAAAAAAAAAAAAGTAATAATATTCTTTTATATAAAGCTTTATATATTTATTAAAATGTTTAATTTAATTTATAATTTATTTATTTATTATTTAATTATTTTTTATAATTATAATTTTTTAATTATTTAATATATTATTATTTTTATATTAAAATATAAAGTAATTTTTCCCTATTAAAATAATATATAGTAAAATAATTTAACTATATAATAAAATTATTTAAATAATTATAAACTATTTTAAATTATTTAATTAAATAATTTATAGTTTTTATTTATATTTAATTAAAGTTATAATTATTTTAAATATAATTTTATCTATTATAAATTTAATTTTATTAAAGTTATAAATATTTTTTTTTAAATATTATTTTTATTTATTATCTTTTATATAAGGATAAATTAAATATAATATTTAATTAGATTTTTATTTAATACTTATTAATAATTAATTCTTTAATTAAAATATATTTAAATATTTAAAGTTTATTATATAAAGTTTAACATTTAATTCTTTTTAATTAGCTTTTAACCTTATAATATTATTAATTAATTAGTTATATTTTTTATATAATTATATAAAGGCGGAAATAATTTTGCTATAAGATTAAGGATATATTATATAATTAATTATTCTTCGTCCGGAATTAATTAAGCTTTTAAAAGTAATATTTTACTTATTAGTTTAAAACCTTTTATTTAAAGAGTAAATATTATATAAGAAATATTATAAATAGTAGTAATGTATTAAATAAATAATTTTAGGTTTCGTTTAATAGTTTAAAGTATAAGCTATAGGTTGCTTTTTTTACGAAGGGTTTCTATAATTATTGGTAGAGAAATAAGGGATTTTTTTTATATGCGTACGAAGGTTAAAAATGTGGCCAGGTTAATTGGGTGGCCAGGTTAAGTGGGAGATGCGTTATCTTCTTTATTATTATTATTAAATTAAAGGGAGTAAAAGGAAAATATATTTTAATTTAAAATTACAATTTATTATTTATTCTATTTAAATTAAAACAATAAAAAAAATACTTTTTAAAAAATAATAAACATTTATTAAATATTTTAAAATTAAATAAAAAATAACTATAATAAAGGTTTAATATAATATAATTTTAAATAAAGGAAGTAAAGATAAATATCTTTTAAAAATACTATTAAAGTTATTTAAATAGGTTAAACTTAAGGACCTATCCTATTAAGGAAAGGAAAATGTATACTTTAAAAACTATATATAACTTTATATATAATAAGGAACAGTTATAAAATAAAGCTTATAATAGCTTTAAAAATGTATATAGTTTAAGTAGGAATATTAAAATTAGGAAGGCAGGGATAAATAATCCTAATAGCTGGTACTTCAACCTATATACACTTTACTATATAAACAGATGTACCACCCTAACCTATGGTACCTAGACTTAGTTCCTTAATGCAATATACAGTATAATTCCTTACCTACTGTACTATTCACACTGTACTATTTCAACTACGATGATGTACTGTAGAGCGAACCTCTCGTCTGACTAAAGAAGTACTCAGAGGAGGGGTGGTAGCAAGGACTTTAAAGGTTACCCAGCTCTGCACATCTCTAATAGTATCTGTTATGTCATCTAGAGCGCCGTCGGTGGCATATTGGGTGTCAGGGTATGCTAAACACGAATCTATCTCCAACTGTTTCAGGATTAAATGGGCACCTTAAGACCCAGTGGAGCATAGTAGTAGGCTGCCTGTATTTTTATACACATGTGTATCGCCCTGAGTGAGTTACAAGTTTGGTTAATTGTATGAGGATTGTATTACCAATATGAGACCCACGGATCTTTTGCCACAGATATCATCTAATATTCAGACGACGCGTTTTCGACTACACGCCAGAAGTCCCCAGCATACCTCTCAGTTTCCACGTCCCAGTGTAATTTCCAATCCAGCGGCTCTGCCCCATAATCGATATTAATGAGCCGGACTGTTTCTTCGAAGGCCTCCTTGGGATCCTTCTCATCGTAAATCCGGCGGGCACAATGATAGCGTGCTTGTTTGAGCTTATTGTTGCGAAGAAAGTGACGCCTCTCTCTTCGACCGTACTCTAACAAGTTAACCCGACAAGAAGCCAAGTCCTCTAACCACCACATCAGAGTAGTATGTATTCTCTTTTTAAAGTCTCTGATACAGGCTGGGGTTACATGGTCTTGTTCTTCGTAGCGGAAATAAGATAAAGCTGTGAAAAGAGGAGTAAGGGGTTGTTTGCGTTGGAGGAATTCTAATACTGGGTTCGCTTGAAGACCCTTGTTGATGAATTCACGGGTCTGGAATGCTGGGTTCAAGCCGAGAGTTTGATATGATAGATCTTCCGTCATCCGAATTACTCTGCGCGCCAACTTGCGCCACAACCGAGCCTGGCTCACAGATCCTCCCATTGACATAGGCCCGTATCGAAATGCAAGAAGGGTTAATAGACATGTACTCTTCTGTTGAAGAGTAGAGATATCGTCTTTATTTATGCTACCCCTGGGGTTTATCAAGAGCTCGAGCGTCTCCGCGTATCCGTCGGGGTTGTGAAGTGAACAGTATTGAACCCGTTCTTCTAGACTGAGCTTTTCGTAGAATCCAGGTAGTACAGCCGGCACAATGGTTTTGACCAATTCTGGTGGCGCATCGGTTGCCGCCTCGTAGAAATAGACAGACTCTTTAGGGTGTATTAATAATCCGCCTACAACGTAGATATCATATTCTAAGTATAAGTCGTGCATCGCCGCGACATCAACTTGGTAGCGTGAAACAGCTGTGACCATTGTTTCGCAAGGTTTAACTTTGAAGGTATGGTCGACCTCAAAATAGTCTAGACCGCTCAAGACCAAAGTCTTGAAAAGGGGTAGCTGACCATGTTCTGCGGCAAGCTAAATGAAGGCATGAATCAGAGAAATTGCATTCACCATCATATGAGATGAAAATCTTACATGTAACAAACTCTGGCCACCCGGTGTGTGGTCCTGTAGACTCGCCCTGCCTTGGTCAATGAGTCGCAATATACCCGCCATGTCTCCTCTGCGCGCACAAGAAAATACAGGGGCAGCGTCCGGTTGTATGCAGTATGCGTTCAGCTTGATAGTCCAACCTGTCGTTGCCCTCGAAGCTTGGATATCCCAAACCCTGCTAGCAAACCAATAGTTTGCTTGCACTCGCGCGACACAATCTGGTGAAATGATTTAGTCCGGATCTCAAAGATATACATCGATCAATGGCGAGGTGTCATACCGAAGTCTTTCAAATTAGCATTTGCCCCATCTTGATAATATCGCCAAGCGACCGATCCCAATGGGCCAAAACTCCACAAATTTGAATAAGTCGGTATCACTGACTCTTTCTTCATAACTCGAGTTGTCGCGGCTTTTCCGATTCCTTGGCAATTCTTTGACGATAGTTCGTGGTTTTTGGAAACAGTACTCGTAGAACAGCTGTCACTACTTTCGGACCAACTAACCAACCTAGTAGGGGGCGTATAATACTGGCTAATGAGCCTGGGCTGAGCCTTCAAGAGCGTACTTTGAACAGTTATACATGCATTGTTCCCAAGTTGAATCAGAACAGACTTACATTATATACCACTGTTGAGTCAAACTTAAGAAGTGGACTGCGGATTGGAGGCGCATATGACACCTATCCAGTATGTCTCCCTTGTAGATTGCCTTCATCGTTGCCTTGTATCTTCTCAGCTTCTGACGGACATCAACCTCATTTGGTAAGTCTCCCAGAACAATATTGAGCTCGCCCAGGGCTTTCTCGCAATATCTTATGCCTAGATATGTTGTATCATCATTCCAGGGGAACAAATCGTTGCTATTCTCGCAGAATTCCTTACTCAGAGCCTCCACAATAGGTTCCAAGATTTCAACTTCGCGCATCATTCCCTCTAATTTGTTGGAAACGTTTTTGATTTCGTTTAAGCGACTCTTAATCGTAAAAATACAGGCAGATATTTTAGCTGCGAGCTCAATGAAAGCAATGCTGCTTCCAATAATACCGATAAGTTCTGCCATGATCTGAGGAATTCGAATGGCTGTCAAAGCACTGAATCATAGTTGAGGTGACGGATATGACTGTGTGAATAGGGGGTGAAGTGGAAGGTTTTCCGTAGGGTGGATAGGTTGCAATTCACTGCTCAGCGCATAGATACTAAAACCCCATGCACTTTATGGATTATTATTAGAATACCAAGTACTAGTGGTTGGGGCGATATGGTAACGATGGGGTGTGGTTACATACTAAGGGCGTATGTAGTAGCAGTAGTAGGGTGAAGCTCAGCAGCCACAACTATCTTACCCCTCACAGTAGCCCCCAATGCCAATACGATTCTTACACTAGCGCTCAGATCCTACAACATCTGCTGTGCGACAGTAAATATAACTGTTCAACTGGGCAGGTAAAGGACATCCCGGTAGGGTAGGCTATAGAGTTCTATATTTAGAATCTTTTCGATTTCCAAGGTAAGACTAAGTAGAGAATGCGAATAATGCCCGCTGCCCATAGTCAGAAGGAAAAGATTTGTATATGAGGAGACAAAAATCAAATAGCTAGGAAAGGTGTCTTCATCAAGTTGGTAGCATCCTGGGCTTGGGGCGGATAAGAGTCCCCTATATGATGACATATGTGGGTGTCATCGACCAATGAGCTTATAGGTTTGATGGAAGCTGAACAGAACTAACCTGCGCATCCAGTCTCCTCTGATCCCATGGTGATTCATTAATAGGTGGTTGATATAGCTCTCAGCGGTCGAGAACTTCTTGGTGGCACAAGAAGTTATCATGTTATGTGAGTTATTCAAATGGTTCAAGATCCCCCATCCAGGTACCGATCCAGAATTATTATATTCGAGATCAGTACCGCATATTACACAAGTCCAGTTTGTCTTGCATAATTGGAGGTCATGCGCCCCGAATGCTCTCACGCGACAAAGCCATTCCCCTTGTCCGTTGACAGTTAAGGTGTTTGACTGGCGTCTTTCAGCGGGGGATTGCTCGAGAGTACTGCCATCTGTGTTTATGACATAAGGCCCTCCGAGAATCCAGGAGTTCATTGTTTCTCCATTCTCAAAATGTCTTCTTATATGTTGACATCTTACCTGCCAGCTTTCAGCGCGGAAGCCGCAGAAGTGGCAGATGAGATCGCTTGGGGAAGGACCTTTCCCCTCACACCTTCCATACTTGAGTAATTCACCAACTGGGTGACAGTCCTTCTGGGCATTAAAATGCACGCCAAAGATATGTTGTATGAATAAATCGCGTCGATAAAACGTCCGATTTATATCCGGCTTCTGCCAACATTCTCGAAACTTGTGCGGGCATACTGTAGAAGGAGTACCTTCTGAATTTGAAGAAGATACACACAGAGGGCAATGAGTAGAGTCGGCCTGGAACATATCTGACCGGCATATCCATACATAGGGGGCAATGTGAGCGGACTCTTCGTGCCGTTTCCATGTGTAATATCTTTGGTAAAAGCAACGGCAGAAGGTACACTGGTAAGATGCCCGTTGACTTGCAGACCCATCAATCTTGGTCACCCGGCTTCTTTTAATATTGTTGGTCATCCGGATTCTTTTAATATTGTTGGTCATCCGGGTTCTTTTAATATTGTTGGTCCTCCGGGTTCTTTTAACATTGTTTCTGCTCAAATTATCCAACGCCTCGGTATCAGACATCATTTGGTTCTGGCCATTATCTGAAACAGTATCAGATTTTCCAGGAGACAAGATGGACAGAAAGCCAGGAGAATATTGGTCGTTGAAGGGTGTAGGGGGCGGAACATCTAAAGAATTGGAATTCTCATCGAAACTTCTCTGGAAAGCGACACGTCGGCCTTTGCGAGGGCCGAAGCTCATGTAGCTTGCAACTGAGCCATTACTGTCTACACTCGATGCAGCACTTGATATCGCGTCGTATGCGGCTTCAGTATGTGAATAACTCCGACTTGCATTCAGATCTTTCTGGGTAACCGATTGATTGACTGGAGGCTCGGGGGCCCATGGTATTAAACGTTGTTTCAACTCAGTATGAACTGCTGCAGGTTTACCATCAATGTTTTGCATTGATGGTTCCCCTCGATCTCGATATCCCGCGGAAAAAGAACTCTCGTCATCTGCGGGTGGAAATAGAGCCGGGACTCCTATGTTTGTTCGACGCCCCTCTTTCGCGGATTCTTGGGCTTTCTTGAATATATCCGGGTGAACGGTGCGTATGTGCCTTTTCATCGCGTCTTCTCGGCTAAACAATTTTTCTTCCGTACAATTGGCACATTGATACCTCATTATCTTTGCGTTATGTATCGTATATTCGTGTCTAGTAAGGTCATAGGGGTTTGAAAAGCTCGTATTGCATGGCTTTCCTGTGCTCGGGTTACTTCTCTCGCACCTGTGTGACCAATTCTGGATATTTGAGCTCAAAATAGAACCGTGCACTTCTCGATTATGCTTTTCAAGTAGTGTTGGTGTATCAAACCGAAGCGTGCAGTCATAGTGAGTACATACATAAGTGCCGCCATCTAAAGCTGTTTGATCCGGCCTACGTACAGGGTGGTCATTGCTGCTCCCACCTAGGTTGCTTATCTTTGTCAGACTCATCCGTGAATACGTTGATGCAGATGGAGTTACTACGCCTGCCGTCTGCCCGGGGGTGGTATGGTACGAGGTGCACTCGATCTTGCCGGATTGTTCAAACCCTTGTTCAGAAATCTGGGAGGGCTTTGCTGCACTCTCCTGAGTTTGATTTGGAGAAGTCTGACATGTGATGTCTAAAGGATCTGCAGTAGTAGCAAACACATAGCGAGCCACGTCTTCAACCCATGCCTCCACGAAACTCGTATTAGAGTTGGCTTTGAGAGGGTGGATGAGGCCTTGCGTCTCTCGAGATGTCAAAGATTGAACTTCGATGGCCGGTTTGTTATGTCTGGAATGACCGCTTTCATATGTTGGTGCCGCTACATCCAACGACAATTGGCGTTGTGAGGCTTGACTTATGGCAGATGCATGGGTATTGATGCAATCCAGAGTGAAGATATGTGGGAGAGATCGAGTTCGCTTAGGCGAATTGTTGATAAACGACTCCTTTGACCGAGGTGATAAACTTGTGCACCTCGGTAAGTAAAAACATGATGGGAGGCATCTATCGTTTCCTACTGAGTCGGGTAACCCAGGGCTAGGTACTCTGTTCGGCATTCTTGCCGCTTGTCCACTTGTACATCCATGGTAGATGGTAGGTAGCAGTGAAGTGCCACTCAGATTTAGTACTGGAGCGTTCGATTGTATTCGTTGCAGTTGTCTTTGTCGCGTTCTCGTAAACCAACCGCTCACTTGGTCTATTGAAAGTCCCGTGGCAGTTGCTAAATTAGCCTTATCCTCCCTTGACGGATATGGCTCCGAATTTCTCGTGATCCAGTTGGTGAGAATTTGCTTCTGCTGCTGGTTGATGGTAATCCGACGAATCTTCTCAGTCTGATTCTCCTGTTTCTCTGAAGTCCTAGACGGTAGCGAAGGCTTGCCCTTATCACTGTAAGCACCGCGCTCTGAGACTGAATCATGAGGGTGGAATGGTCTCTCAGCGTGCACCCAGTCCAGTGTAAAATCGATGTCGACATCTGGATAGTTGAACGTAGAATCATACTCGGGCACAGAGGCCTCCATACCGTCCAAGAGGGAGGGCTGGATTGACTTGTGAGGCTCATTTGGTGTCGTAGCTGCTACTTCAGAAGAGAGAGGGTCAAATGGAGATACACCACCCCAAGGCAGTAAATATTCGTCGTTTGGCATGATAGGGGCGGTATCATCTAACAACAGTAATGATGAGGGCCACAACGTGTCTGCCATAGTGACGTCCTCCTCAAACACCATTGAAAAATGCTCCTCGGTATCCATGGGCATATATTCTCCTCCAGCCCAATGAGTGGCACAGCCGACCTTGACGCTTTGCCCAGTGATAGCGCGGCGGTTGGAAATTCTTCGAGTCAGAAGCTATTATAGCAGAATAATCTGAGACTGTTCTTCTGGATATCGCTTATTACCACTGACACAATGTCTATATATAAGGACAGTAGATATATGCGTGGGGGCCTGTTGTCAGCCAATCCGCCCATCAAACCCCAATCAAAAGCTGAACACCATGAAAGCTATGTCCTGCGCCATACTATCCAACCACATCAGGCTGGCTGAGCCGAGAAAATAAGCCACTGCATCGCCCGATCTCTTCCGCTTTCAGCCACAGCAATCCTACCCTGATATTGCCAGAGTTCGGCAGACTCAAGCATATTCACTATCACAGACGCCATTGGTGCCGTAGACGAACCCTTTATTTCGTCCTCTCTGTTGGAGCCTAGAAGTTCGTTTCCATTTGGGCTGATATTAGTCTGTATTTGTTGGCTTGTATGATCGCCCAGCGTTCAGAAAGAGAAACAGATAGGGTGGATTGGACCTGTGCACCTGGTAGCCACAGTATGGCTGAGCTGCTTGCTTCATGTCCCAGCCACATCCACGTCCTATCCATCGACTTCTTAACTCCTTACACAAACCAACACAAGCGAGACAAGGACACCTCATCAAGAATCAAACATAAGGGTGCTGCTTATATGATCCCCCTCGATCATTTCCCTGAGAAATACTAGTCTTTATCGCCGATTGAACGGTGTGGACTTATCTAGTGTTCCCGAAGCCATGACCGCCCGCTAAAATAAGGTCCGATGGACAAGACGGAGCTTATAATATGACGACATGATGAGAGAAAGGCAGGAACCATACGTAGTACTATAGAATTCTATTATTGCTGAAGAAAAAAAAAAAAAAATTCCTCGCCTACCAATCTCTGCCTAGCTCCCAAAAATTTACCACCTAACAGCGAGAATTGGGGTAGATGGCTGCCGAGATACCGAGGCCCCCCGCTGAACTGCGCAACTCCGGCTCCCCTAAAAAAAGGTCGACAGGGGGTTAATGCGGAATAAATGGAGAGTTAACTCCGATGATGCCATGCAAACATCTCACCATGCTGCTATCGTGGAACTGGTTCGGCAATAGCCCTATAGCTCCAGATTAATCATCGTAGTGTCTGATTATGAATTTCAAGTTTCATCAGTGGTACCTAAAAGAAAGCGCTTTTCAATGAGTCGCGAAGTACCTCGTCATAATGGTGCTTGATGGAACTAAGGAGACTAATAAAGAGTCATTCCCCCTTATGTCAATTTATATAAAGCTCGTCTCAGTCCGTCTAAGAGGAATCATCATCGCCATCATCAGATCCACATCACTACTTACTACTGCATTATCCTAACATATCTCATTACTTTCTAACAACTATAATTCTGCTTCATTCTTAATAGATTCAAACATCACTACCAAGAACTCAGATCCTTCTCTAAGCAGCTATGCCAACCTTCACAGTTTTTAAGGGCAACGAGTCGGGTGCGCCCAAGAAAGAAACTACCACAAGACCAGATGAACTATCTGGAGATGAAGTTTTCGTCAGGATAACAGCCTCTGGTCTATGTGGAACAGGTAAGATACCAACATAGCATAATTATTTGTAAAGAAGTTAACTAACGTTCTGACACTAGATCTGCATTACGTAAATCAACCCTCCTTGTCATGATTACTTGAACTATTCATACTGACTGAGCCACAGAGAAAGGCACATATTGGCTTGGGCCACGAGGGTGTTGGTGTTGTCGAGAAGACTGGTCCTCTATGCAAAGCTCTGAAGGCAGGCGATCGAGTTGGCTGGGGCTACAACCACAGTTTCTGCGGTCGCTGCGCACAATGTCTGTCGGGTAACGACATCTTCTGCACCGAGCGTGCAATGTACGGCTTCGCGGACCTGGACCAAGGAAGTTTCGGTTCTCACGCTGTCTGGCGCGAGGTGGCCCTCTTCAAAATTCCGGAGAACATGTCCGATGAAGACGCGGCTCCCCTTCAATGCGCCGGCGCCACCGTTTTTAGCGCCCTCCACACTTACCGCGCCCAACCCACCGAAACCGTCGGAGTTATGGGCGTCGGTGGCCTTGGCCATCTAGCGATTCAGTTCGCCTCCAAGATGGGCTGCCGCGTCATAGTACTTTCAGGATCAGAGAGTAAGAAGGACGAAGCGATGAAACTAGGTGCCCACGAATTCCTCGCTACCAAGGGCAAGACGGACCTCAAAGTGTCCCACCCTATCGATCGCCTCCTAGTTACGACATCGTTCCAGCCTAACTGGGAGCAGCTCCTGCCTATCCTAGCCCCTGGCGCTACTATCTACCCTCTTAGCGTCTCAGAGGGCAACTTTGAGATCCCGAATAACCCTATGCTCGTGAATGGAATTACCGTCCAGGGTTCGTGTGTCGCTTCAAGGCTCACCCACGAGCGCATGCTCGAGTTTGCAGCCCTGCATCAAATCAAGCCTGTGGTACAGTTTTTTGACATGACTGAAGAAGGAATCCTGGATGCGATGGACAAATTGGACAGCGGCAAGGTTCACTTCCGGGCTGTGCTGAAGCCTGTTGCCTAAATCATGAACTATGAATGGTTCCTGTACATATGTTGTATAATACTGTGTATGAAGATATCAAGAGCGAAATCATATAGACCTGGGCAATATAGATCTTAGACATTTTATTCCGCATATGAGCTCAAAATCCCGATTATATATAATAATTGTGATAGTAGTTATGTACTGTCATGTCAAAAGGATTGGTCGCAGAGTGAGTAGAAAGTCAGTCACAGTCAAGTAGGTAGGCAGAAGGGTAGTATAGGCGTCAATATTCATTGAATTCTGAACTCTCCAAGAAGCGAGGGGAGTCCAACACCCCTTCATAGCCATTAGGTCTAATACAGCCACCCCCAGGGTCTATGTGACTATATCAGCTTACATATCAGGACCTGTTACGCTTGCTGGCAAAACTGAGGCTATATACCGGAGAGGACTTTTGTTGCATTGCAGCCTTGTAGCTGCCTTATAGCTTTGTGACATGTATGCATGTAATGATAGTATTGTTCTGTAGGGAGCGATGGGTTGGCGTGTCTGCTAAGAGTAGCATTCCATCAACTTGCAATACTGACAGAGCAAATACTGGCGAGCCAGCCAAGCTCAGCTTCAGTTAGTCTCATAGGGCTCTAATATGCTAGCATATCTGGCCCTTCGGTAATTCAAACTAGCAGTGGCAGGGGGGTTGTACTGTCCTAGGGAGTCAATACTGTATGATTCAGAAAGGAATTTTGTGAATATATCACATGAAAAATCAATAGACTACTTGCTCCCTCTTTGTACGTCACTAAAGATATCCTTTTTGTCATCCCCGAGCTTAACGTATCAAAGGCATATAATCAAATGTAAGAATTACTTAACATCTTAAGAGGTCTACTGAAATAAGACATAATTACCAAGATCTTTCAATATCTTTCAATATCTAAAAGTAAATCTTTGAAGTACTTGACTGGGGGTTGAAAGAGCTTGTCAGAGGGGTTTTAGATCTTGGATAGCATTAATTCACGTTTGTACACCCATAACTGACAGATGCCCTGTGACAATTCATGAACAATGAATTTGATTAATCGGCTACTTTGGGGGATGATAAAAGTGAGCGATGATGCGTACACAGTTCGACAATACTTGATCAACACAATTACAACCACCTGCTCACTGAAACTTGCCAGAGATGGATGTCAGTCACTGTTTCACTGTTAATCACCCTTGGTTTTCCCAGTGTATGCTTGGCAGAGATCATGTTTGTTCAGATGATGTGACGCCTTGTTAGGTAGCAGCTTGCCACCCGCCACCTTTCCTGGTAGCACCTACGCACGTGCCTTGCCTCTGGTATCAATGTATCATTGTCTTCGCCCGACACAATGGGTCAAACAAACACAAGTCGCCGCACGGATCACTCAAGGGTCAACACCCGTCAGTCTTATCCAGCAAACATACTGAACCGAGCAACATAATGAAAAATTACGCTCCCGTCCCATAACGCAAGTTGAGTACCTAGTGCGCTCAACGGTTTGGTGTCTAGATGATTTCCTGGCACTAGAACGGTCGGGGGTTCGACTCCCCCAGCGATCATGGTCAACACTTTGTGAGTCGGACAAGCCCTTCTCTGGTCTCAGAGCCGCCACGCAGACCCTGGCGGATCTTCTCATTGCGGCACTGATGAAGACTTGCGTGATTTTGAAGTCTATTCTGCATGGTTGTGAATTTCTCCCCCGCGGCAGCTCGGTCGCCTGAACATCACGGCTTCCGACTCATTAGTGGTGATTATTTTTTTCTGGTAATCTTTTCTTTTGTTTTCTCTGAGGCACAACGAATTTGAAAGAGCAAATCTAAACATGCACCCTGGCCCCAACTAGTTGTGTAGTTGTCGGACCGCCACAGCTGTCTGTTATCTGTAGTCATGTTGACAAGACTGCGTGTTGATAAATATTTTATGGCATTCTATGTAGTTCTTTATGTTGATTGATGGTTTGTTTACGCTTAGCCAGCACACGTGACAAGGAGCACAGGGGCTTGCCAAATCTCAAGGTACCCTACCGCATTCTTGTAAAGAGGCGAGTTCCTCTCAGGCCTGCAGACAACACGCCCACTCAACTGTTCTGGGTTCGATTGCCAAATAAACGCTCAGTATACCTCCCTTCCCAGATATTCGCCGACGATGGCAAGTTATTCTAAGACAGCTGCGTTTATCCATACCTAACTTCATCTTTTCAGTATTACGATCAAACCTAGCGAATGGCATGTCGTTGCGTGCTATCCCCCATAGCATCAATCAGCTGACAATTCTCCAGATTTGGAAGATCATGTATGATTTTCTGAATATACAGGCTGCAGAGGTCTTCAAACCTTATCAAATCCTTGAGAATCACCAGATGATATTCAACACGTTCGGCGATACGCAAATCCTTTGATGACTACTACTACGTTTGGGTAAGATAAATACAACATGACATAGGCTACAGTGAGTGATAGCTAGCTCTCTAGGTATTACCAAGTCTCGACCGTCAATGATCCTTACTTTACAGAGCTTTTTCACGTTCTTGACGAGATTCTTTTACTTGCACAAACAGGCCTTGCAGCGCTGCTTGACTACCTTCCAGCTTTACAGATGCTTCCCTCACGGATGCTCCCCGTAAAACAACGGGCTCAGGCAAACCATCGGAGGGAAAGACCCTGTATAGGTATCACTGGGACAAAGCCAAAGCGGATATACTAACATCAGACAGCCCAAATCCCTCTTTTAGCATTGGCCTCGTTGAAGACCAGAAGGAACACGGCTTCGACGATGAATTTGCTGCGAAATATCGCTGGAACCCTCCTTGAAGCTGGGACCGATACGACTGCTAACACTCTCATATTGTTTCTTTGCGCCATGCTTATCTTCCCATCTGCCCAAGAGCGCGCAAAGGCTGAGCTTGACCGAGTTGTGGGCGCAGACAGGATACTTGGGATTGGGGAAGAGCCGAACTTACAGTATATACGTGGGTGTGTCAAAGAGTCTCTTTTGTTGAATGCCCACTACAATGATGAGTACAATACCACATGCTCTTACGCAAGACGCTAATTGCATGGGGTTCCGATTGTCAAAAGGAGAGGCACTGGTCAACAACGTTTACGCTATACACAGCGACAGTGTCCGTTTCCCGCGTCCCCACGATTTTGATCCTGACAGGTTTGAGGATGATAAATAGAACATTCTATGATGCCGCCATCAATCCGGGCGTCTCCCAGCGCGACTCATTCTGCTTCGGGGCAGGACGTCGAATCTGTCCGGGGATTCACGTAGCGGGTCGAGTTAAAATAGTACTGTGGGTACTCCCTGAGACCACTCGGCATTAGGGCATTAGGCTCTGGCCCTTACAGGGGCTTTGCCACCACGCTGAATAGGTAAGATTAGCGGTGGTGTACTGAGGTCTTACAGCACTGAGGAACTCGAGTGCCATTACCTTTCATTACTTGGGTGAGACTAGGTACATAGTAAAGTTGCCTTGTGGTGCACGAATTAGAGCCACGTTACGATTTGAAATGCGCGAGGTACAAATCCTGCTCACGATCGAAAAACCACCGTTCCTATAGCAATCATGTTGGCGGCACGCATTAAGCGCCGGACGTTGGAGGCTATCTAATTACTTCTCGCAATAACCGGCAACACAAGCTTTCCACGCCCATCTTCGAACGCGACAAAAAACTCGCGAACAAGAGGATGAAGACCCTTCTCACTAGCAGCATCTACCCAGTCCCTCATATCAATGTCTTTCAACTGTCCTCCGGCCAGTTTTTCTAGGAAATCTCCGAGCTCCCGGTGCGGAACCTTCGCATCACCGCAATGGTTCACAAAGCGAACGCCTATATCTTGCTCTCTTGACAATCCAAGTGACTCAGTCCCCTCAATTCTGCTTGCCTGGGACTCTATAACCATTTCGACAATGTCACTTGCCACGTCTCGTACGGCAACGAAATCCCACACGCCAGTAACGAATTCTTCTTTAATACGAGGCAACGCACGTAGAATGAGCGAATACTTCGTCAACATCCCCACCACGTCCAGCTCAGATGCGTCTTCGCCAACCACATGTGCCAACCGGTGAACATAGGTGGGCAGTCCCTTATGTGCAGCGAGTTTTTCCAACAAGGTTTCGCTAACCCACTTACTGGCTGCGTAGCCATCGACAGAATTCAATAAAGTGGCGTCCACTGGGACCGCCGCAACTTCGAGGAGAGGGTGCTCAGCACTGTGTTCAATGACCTTCGCCACAGATGCTGTGGATACATAATGCATTGGGATTTTTCGCGGTATGGCCATCTCACAGAGCCTGCGAGTAGATATGACGTTCGTACGGCGAAGAGACGAGTAGGTCTTTAACAGCGAAACATCTGCACCATTATGGATAATAGCATCTGCGTGCTCGACTAGAAAGCTGAATTCGGCACCCGAGAGTCCAAGATTGATGTCTGAGAGATCGCCGACGTACTCGAAGACTTTTTCGTGTTGGAGTGGTAGTCGGCGGGGCTGCCCATCGTTGTTTGGCCGTATTGCTATGCAATGCACCTCCGCCACTCTCGGATTTTGAACAAGATGCCAGAGCAGATGCTTTCCAATAAAGCCAGTCGCCCCAGTTAGCACGATTATCAAACCTTGGGTGTCATCGGAAGGTTTTCCGCGGGAAACGAGCAGATGAGGCTGTGGTTTAGGAAGTCCATCAACTAAGCTAGCAATTTCGAGGTCCCAGTCCATTACCTGCTGAGCGACCCCAGCTCGTAAAAACGCCTCTGTCGTTTGAATATTGGCGCCATTAGGCTTCGTTTGAGTTAAGCCCGTAATGAGAGTCGACATCGTGCTCAGGGTACTAGATCGAAACAATTCTGGCATGGGCACCGTTACTCCAAAGTGTGCTTGGAGCAGCGATTTTAGTTTGATCATGAGGATTGAGCTCCCACCAACCGCAAAGAAATCTGATGATGGTTGAATCACCGATCCCTTACCGCTACTGCCGGGTATAGGGGCTATCTGATCAGCCAACACCTCTTCCCATATCTCTTTCATCGAATGTTCACTCGAACTGAAGACGGGGGGTACATAGTTGCTCTCTGCAGACTCTATGAAGTCTGGGATTGCCAGTTGATCAACGGCACCCCGGTCAATCTTCCCATTGACTGTACTTGGAATTTGTGTGATGGGGATGATGAATCTCGGCTTCATATACGAGGGGAGTGGAAGATTTTCCCGAAGACTTTCCAGAAACTCAGATCTGTTCTTAGTGAATCTAGCCTCGAACACCACAAATGCCACCAACGTTCCTGAGGATTGGCTGGGGCGCCAAGAAGTAGCGGCGCTGACAAGGGCATCGTCAGCTACGCGTAGAATAGTATTTGCAACCTCGTCTAGCTCGACCCGAAACCCGTTTATCTTCACTTGGCTATCGCTGCCAATCCGTCCAAGCACCTTGAGAGTCCCATCAGGCATAAGTCTGCCCATATCACCTGAACGGTAGATACGGACGCTCCCTGGTGTTGGTCCGGCTGACTCTCTTTGCACGAAGCTGTATTCAGACTCTCTAGGTCGGCCGATATACCCGAGGCCAACACCTGGTCCCGAGATACAAATTTCTCCCGGAAATCCGACGGGTAGAAGGTTCATGTTAGCATCAACTATATCGATGGAATAATTGTGCGATGGAAGTAGCCAATCGCTGTCAATATCTCCCACGCTGCTTGGATCTCTGTAGGGCACTGTGCCTCTTGCGCAAGCCAGCGTTATCTCAGCAGGCCCATACACATTGATTAGTTGTAGGTTTGGGCAATCGAGATGGCGGAAAGCTCTCAGTAGATTAGGCCTCAAGGGCTCTCCTCCAGACATGGCGTAACGCCAGGAAGAAGTTTTCGTCAGTATATGGTGACCGTAGTTTAATAGCACTGAATATTCGGACGGCACGAAGTGGGTTAAAGTAACGTTGTGTTTGACCATAAGATTCGCTATGTGTACTGGATCGCCTCGACCATTCTTGCCTACTATAACGGCCGTACCTCCGCTGCATAGGGCAAGGAATATTTGGTCCAGCATGAGATCAAACCCCAGGGGGCTTTGCTGTAGTGTCGTCTCCACGCCAAGGTTGAGAAACATCGTAGTTCCGTAAATTTGATTCATCAGGCCTTCATGTGACAGCATAACACCCTTAGGGACGCCGGTAGAGCCGCTCGTGAATAAGATCATTGCGGGGTGGCTAGCCTGCGCATGTGCGCCATTTCCGTTTGGCAGAGAGGAACTTTTGTCGCCATTTTGACAGCTGTGAATGTCAACATTAAGGGTTATGTCGTCTATATTGAGAATATGGATATAGTCTGCGCTTGCCACTACCTCTTGGGCCATACGCGCTGTCGAACCGTGGCAAAGAAGAACTTGGGGCCGACATTGCTCGACGATCGCACGAATCCGCAGATGATGATTCAGTGTGTCAAGGGGAATCCATGTCAGTCCGATGCCAAGAACAGCAAGTATGCAACTGATAGTATCGGCTGTGGGATCTAGAAGCGTAGCTACGCGAGATCCTGCAACGAGCGGCGGCGCAACACTCTGTAAGAGTTCTTTCACATGAGTTGTTCGCCTGGCCAGCTGTGAATATGTGAACGCATGGCCTTGATCATCTATGACAGCAGTAGAGGCTGCGAAACTGGCGGCAATTTCGTCAACACGATCTGTGATAGTTCCCTTCCATTTGACATCAATGTCCATACCGCGCCCAAGGTTTCTCGCTTGCTCAAGGTGAGTTGGATTCGATACAGGGCAATTTTCTAGACGTATGGAGGGATCATGCGCGAGAATTTCTAGAGCATGCATATACCACTTGTGCAAAAGAGCCACGTCAGACGCCTTGTACAAGCTACGCTGCCCAACTAGGGATATGAATGTCCACTCCCGCATTGCGCCAATGTTTAACATTAGGTCATAAGGGTGACCTCCCGGGACGCCGCCATCCCAAACAATCTTTCCATCTCGACCAAACTTAGTCTCATCAAACGGTGACTTGCTGTAGTTGATGGCTACTTGGAAAAGTGGATGGTGGCTTGTCGATCTTGGAAGTTTCAAGTGGTTGATAATCACGTCAAGAGGCGCACATGAATGGGCCATTGCGGCCACCACAGCGTCCCGGGCCCTTCTCGCAATCAGGTTAAGCGAATCAGAGTGAGAAAGCTGCATCCTTATGGGAAGCATGTTGAGGAAGTATCCGATGGTATCCAGATCCTCTCCCTCATGTCGATTTGCGTCCACGAGTCCAATGGCTAGGTCTCTGACGTTCAGGCATCGAGAGAGGAACATGACGAAAGTAGCAAGGTAAAACTGTAGCTGGGTGACACCGATATTAGAAGCAACTTGTTCAATACGCCTTGTTAAGTCTTTCGAAATCCTCACGTTAGAGATGGCGACGTTGTAATCCGGACTTGAGGGTCGGGCATGGTTGGGTGTGGTGAATGGGAAGAGCGGCAGTGGGTCAGGTATCGTCTTGTAAATAGCTCTCCAAAATGCCAGGTCAGACTCGAGACTCTGATGTGTAAACATGCCTAACTGTTTTGTCGCCATTTCAATGGGTTGTTGCATTTGAGGAGGAGCTCGCATGGTGTGCATTCCGCCGGAGTAAGCCATTGCGAGATCAGATATGAATAGTTTCCAGCTTAGCCCATCTAACGCGATGTGATGATGAGTAAACAATATGGAATGCCGGGTTGACGAATGTGTAATGACTGAAACTTTCATTGCGACTCCATTCTCAATGTCAAATTTGAAATCCTTGACTTGACTGATTGAATTTTGCATATCAATACCCTCATCAGCCGTCGACTGCTCAAATGTAATGCGCGCGTCGCTTAGAACTGCTTGCACAGGGCTAGAAGTAACCATGTCGGTGAAGAATGCACTTCGTAATCCCTCATGCCTCTTTCCAACAACCCGCAGAGCCCCTTTTAGTCGGGACATATTTAAGGGGCCGTGAAATGTCCCATAGTAAGCAATATTATAGGCGTTGTTTTGGAGATATTCATGTAGAAAGTACAGTTGAGCTTGGGAGTGCGACATGGGGCCAATTCGCTCATACTTTAAGCTATTCTTAGGTTGTTCTCCGTTCTGTTGCTGGGCTGATATGACTACAGGCGTTTGAAGACTATCATCTGGATTTATTGTGGCAGAGCCTTTTGCAACATCTGCTGTCGTGGTCTCCCCGAAAGCCGGTAAAATGGGCTTCGCACAGGAGTTGGTATTCCCCTCCTTGTTGGCATTGTCGTTGCCATATTGATCATTGTCCCGTGGTTTCAACGATTCTGATAGCTGACTTAGAGTCTCATGGCATATGTCGAGTAAAGATAAGCCATTGAGAAATACAAGGACTGGAATGTTGACTTTCAACATCTTTAAAAGCCAAGAGCGAATTTCGACAGCAACTAGGGAGTCGAACCCCATGCTAAGTAGAGCCGAGTTCTCATCTAGGCTATTGTCAGTCATGCCAAGTGCCAATTCGATGCGTCGCCCAATCACTCGTTTTAAGATCGCCAGAACCTGTTCCTGATTATTTGCGTGTTTTATCGTCACTTGGATGCTTTCAGCTGAGTCTGGTTTGTTCCGTTGGTGGTGTGAGCTATTCTTCTCGTCTCGCTTCAAGTGACAATGCGCGAAAATAGGTAGCGCTCGCCACTCGGTATCGACCTCTGTACCAAGACCAGCAATGACTTGTGGGCTCAATCCGGATTCAAGACGGCCCGAGAGAACTGCCTGGGCAAATATCCGATGGAATTCCGGCTCAGGGATAGCCATCAGGTCTTCTTGGCGAAATTTGGCTTCCAGCATTGCTTCAGCCGGCCCATGTATGTGGCCTAGTCCTAGCATCATACCCAAGTGCAGCGTCGATGCGGCAAGACCTCTGTTGCGCCTCTTCTCAGCAAGGGTAGACATGAACAGGTTCGCGGCATTGTAACTCGACTGACCAGGCTTGCCGTAGATACTGGCCATTGACGAAAAGAGGATGAAAAAGTCCAAGGGCGTAGAGTAGAATAAATTGTCGAGATTGATGCTTCCCATAACTTTGGGTTCAAAAACAGCCTTGAGGTCGTCATGTGATAGGCCGTCAAAAGGGTGATCACGTACAACTAAAGCACCGTTTGCTACTCCTGCAACTGGTGGCATTGTAGACATAATCTCTTGGTAGACACTTCCAAGATTGTCCTTGTTTGCAACATCAAGCGCGAATACACGCACTGTTGCACCTTTCATTTCCAGATGCGTGATTATCTGCGGTGGCACTGCTGGATTCCGAGATGCAAGAGCAATGTGTCGCGCACCGTGATCAATCATCCACTCACATAGAGACAGCCCAACCTCACCAGTAAGACCAACAAGGAGATACGTTTTATGCGGACCAAAAATATGGTCGTCCGTTGCAGCCGACAGTGGAATGTGAATAGATTCAACGCCGGCCCAGGATACCACGCTCGTAGCAACTGATGTCTTCTGTTGATTTTGTAGTTGATCTGCTTGAATGATATTCTTTTGTACCGGAATTCCGATATCATGCAGGAAATATTTTTGGGCAAAATATTTCGACAAAACTGTTGAGTTGGATGCATTGATGGTTAGTGCGTACGGTTCATGTATAGAGACGTTATGAAGGCCAGGCCGGAATTCTAGCTCATGCCAAGGGAAATGCAATGCAAAGTCCGTGGCACTAGTTCCGTTGCTTGCCCCCATGTTGATAAATCGCTTGATTGATCGAGGTATTAATGATTTGAGCACTCGTGTAGGAGCCCTTGGATGAAGCTGAATTGCCTTTGAGGCGAGCCCTGGACTCATATCCATATTGTCCTTCGTCAGGAAGATTGGCACGCCCATACAATTGGCAACGAAACACAGAGTTTCACATACTCCAGGATCTGCATTATGAATCCAGACTGTCCCAGTGCTGTTTGACAAGAAATTTTCGCATAGAAGGATGAGTAAGATCGAAGAGAGTAGTTCATCCGCGTCTGTCTCCTGATGCCAAGTGAGAGCATATCTATCATTCCCCTTGCTAACCATTGAGCCACGCTCTGAGAAGATCAAGCTGTACCGTCCTTCATCAACTATGTATGCAATGCACATATGAAACGGTTTATCTTGATCAGGACTTTTGAATTGGACGAGCGAAGATGAGAGGATCGTAATATGGTCTGGCCTGTAGATTGCGAGGGGAGAGCTTTCATTGAGGGAGAGAGAATGAGACAATGAATCAATGGGTACAGTTGTCATAATCTCTCGCCTTGAACAGTTGAGCCGATCATTCATGTTCTGGTGTGGTAGCACTCTGGGGATAAGAGGAATGCCATTACTGACAAAGATTTCTGTCTCGTTCGACCAAAGAATGTCACTGCAAGAAGGCAGATCTAGAATCACCATCTGTAAAAGCAATTTTGCGATCACATTGGCTTGTGTGCATCCTTTACTATGATCAAGACTTTCGAAATTGACAAATCTGGCCCGGAGATGAGGCAGTTCTCTGGATGCAGTGCGACCAATACCGACTGATATGTTCGCGTAAGGATCGTCGTTTAGGCAACCGCGAGTGGCCCATAAGATGTACTGAGCCTCGCGAAAGAGAGTCTGCATGCCTGAGATTCTCAGTCGGTCCAACTTTCGGAAGATGGGCTCTTCCAGATCACATAGACATATCACGGCTGTCCCCTGCTCTAAGTGAATGTTTGAAGCATCACCCAGATCTGGTATGATGGTTATTTTTCCGGAATATGTGTGTAAGATAGACCTTATCTTGCTTGCCATTTGAGATACTATCAGAGTGCGACCGCCAACTATGAGCAGATTATCAATAGAGATCATGTTATCACTTGCGGTCAAAGGATCTTTCAAAGCCAAGATCTGGTCGTTTGCTGCTTGGCTTACCATGACAGATAAGCCATGTGCAGAATCTCGCTCGAAGTCTCTGAAGACAACGTCAACGCCCGAAAATGAGGTCTCACGTAGGATGCTATCCCACTGACTCTCTGTGAGAATAGGGAATTGTTTTTGGTCAAGTCGCCAGCTCGGAAGAAGTGGAAGCAGGAAAAGGTTGCGCAGTGCGGTTGGGTTGGTCATTTCCAGTAGAATTAAATAACCTCCAGGTCGCAGGAGTTGCCGGCAATGGTTCAAAGCATCCTTGATGGAACTTGTTGAGCTAAGAATACGAATAGCAATGACAACATCATACGAATGAGCCTCGAATCCTTGATCAGTAGGTGGCCGCTCTATATCAAGAGCTTGAAATGTTAGAGGTGGGTAGTGCGTAGCGAAGCGAGCTTGAGCGGCAGAGAAACCAGCGGGCACACTATCGGTAAAATAGTAGTCCTCGAAGTTTGATTTAAAATGCTCTAGAAACACGTTTGTGTAGTTTCCCGCGCCAGCTGTAAGTTCGAGGATGCTCATTTTAGGATATCGATGTACGAGGTGGTCGACGATTGTGCCTAAGTGGTTCTTGACTGCAGCAGCCCCTACACCCTCTGTGTAAAATCGATCAATAAGTTTTTCGGTTTCGGGACATACTGCTGATAACCCAGAGCCATGAAAGATGCTTGAAATCCGCGACCCTGCATAGTTGACAAGCTCAAGATCAATTTGACGAGACGATTGGTCGCCCTCCAGGGTATCCATCGACTCTGTGTTCTTTGAGTGCCTATTATGAGGACATCGAGTGTCTGAAGGTGGCTCACTCTCATTGTCAGTCAACTTGGAGGCCAGGTCCATGAGGTATGGGAAGTACCATCCCGTTGATTTCATCTCATGAGGCTTGGTTTTTCCAAGAAGCTGGTTCACGTAGGAACAAGCTACTTTCTCGCACTTCTCGGGCCACCTATCCTCATCCACCAATGGAACCAGCTGATCCTGGTCCGTATTTTGACCAACAATTGATGATATATCTTGTTTCCATATCGTATGCCAAAACACCGTACGATCATTCGCTGCGCTGGGCATTTCAAGTGAAGACAATACGACACCCTGCAGTTGTACAACGGGGTGACCATCTGCCGCGAGGAACACATCGATATCGCCGCCGATCTCCCGCGCGGAAGAATCTGTAATAAAACAGTCTGCGACGAGCCTCGAATCTGTGTCATTGCTCACCTGAAAATAAGTGCCAACGTCGAATCGAATTAGTTGAAAGCTTTTTGGAAGGTATGTTGTCCAGAATCGCCCATCACCTGGATATGAAAACGCTGCATACAGGCCCTGCAAGACGCTGTCCAATGTACCCGGATGAACTATGTAGTCATCAGTCCTTGTTGGCTTTGTTATTACTGATGCAAGGTTCAGACGTCTTTCGATCGATTCCAGGACAAAGGGGCCAGAATACTGGAGGCCGATCTTGTCCATCCAGTGATAGAAACGATCTACCGCAACATCCGTCATAGGAAGGTTGGGAACTGTTCTGCTTGGTAGAAGGTTTTCATTTATAGCGCCAAATAGCACTAATATTCGCCCAGTCACGACCTCTTTGCTGAATTCGGGAGAGGCCGTATCCGCATTGCTACAGCGACAGGAGAAATCGACAGTTCTACCTCTTTCGTTCTCCTCAACTCTTGAGATGGAGAAATTGAGCTCAATCGCAGAAGAGCTCGCTTCCAATGCAATGCCATTGTGAATCACCACATCTCGTAATTCGAGAATCTTGACAGGTCGATCACTACCCAGGGTCTGGAGGGCAGCATCTATGGCCATCACTATGTAGGCGGAGGCAGGGATCAAAGCCTGTCTTTGGAATTGGTGACATTGAAGCCAATATACGTCATCAAGACGCAGGATATTTCGCCAATGCCACTCGTTTTCCGACCATGAAACTGGGTATCCAAGCAATTCATGGAGCGGGGACTTGCGACTTCTCCGAAGATGTGTCTTCCTGGATTCCCTGATCATCGGTCGCTCGTGATCCCACGGATAAGGTGGTAGATCCTTATACACTCGCTGAACTGCCCAATCGACTCCAGAACAAGCGGTTCTGAATCCTGGAAAGTCAATTCCTGCAGTCTGTGCTTCAGTATGGCACCAAATCGTGCCAATTGCGGCAGAAAAGGTCTCAAGTGCATCTTTGTTTCTCTCCATTACTCCTACATAAGGCAGATCATTGCCCAAGAATGCTCGAATGGTTTCCATTGCTGGGCCTCGGAGGGCTGGGTGCGGTCCGATTTCAAGTGCAATGTCGAAGGTGTTCCCTTCGAGAGCAGAAATAATTGCCGGAGAGAACATCACGGGCTTAACTAAATTCTCAGTCCAGTATAACCCATCAAAAGATGCAGGTGAGATCGTGGTATCGCTGTCTTTAGGGTCGTATACTGTTGAATACCAGTTACATGTGCCCTTAAAACAATTTCGTATCGCTTTGATACCAGCTTCATTGAGAGAAGTACTGTACGGCTCGCGAACAGGCCTCATATGGTGCGAATGATACGCCGTATCGGTTTTCAGTATTCTATTAAATACTTTCTTATTGTCTAGAACGTCTTTAGCACGTTCAATAGCTTCAGCATCTCCAGATAAAGTCACGCTGGATATTGAATTCTCTGCTGCTACTACCAGGCGTCCCATGAAGCATTGTTGTTGACAAAATTGTCGTGCTTCTTCTGGTGACATACCCACCGCCATCATTCTACCGCAGTTTTCTTTATTGTGTTTGCCGCAGTGGTATCCTCTGAGATACGCAATAGTGATTGCATCTGAGGCCGTAAGAACACCCGCCGCGTATGCTGCTGCGATCTCGCCTGAAGAGTGACCAATGACAGCGGTAAACAAAATTCCACATGCCCGAAGCAAGTCTACCAGAGCTATTTGAATAGCAGTGCAGAGGGGTTGTGAGACTTCGGCAGACAATGTAGCCACTGCATCATCTTGGCGAAGCAATTCGCCTACAAGCGACCAAGTCGGGCCATGGTGCAGAGCTTGGAGAACCGAGTCAAGCCCTTCGAAAGTTCTCCTGGATGAAGCCGAGTTCCGAACCAGGCTTGCTCCCATTGATGCCCATTGAGCACCCTGTCCTGTGAAAATGCCCAACACACGAACAGTGGGGTTTGTTGGCAGATTTGCAGTTATTTGACATTGGTCGATATTTGCGGTGACTAACTCTAGTCTGGCAATAAGCTGCTCTTTATCAGTTGCTGACACCGAGACGCGATGTTTGAACTTTGTCCGGTGAGTTTGCAAAGTCCATGCCAACCGCGATAGATCAACCTTGGTCCGGCTTTTCAGTGTCTTTAATAGTGAGACAACGACAGACCTGAGTGCTGGTTTGGAGTTGGCAGATAAGACAAAAGGCCCCCAAGCACGAGAACACGTTTGAATTTTCGGGGAATGGTTCTGGAGTTCATAGCTTTCCAGGATAGCATGGGCGTTTGTTCCTAACTATAGTTAGCATCTGTAGAAAGAGTGCGAATTGAGTGTCTATACGTACCACCAAATCCGAAACTGTTAACACTAGCCCTCCTAGGTGCGCCCAGGGGGAGTGTGGGCCAGTTCTTTGGGCTCACGGGCACTTCGAGACCGTGGTAATAAGGCTCTATGTTTGGGTTCAGGCGGTTGAAGTGTAAGTTTGGGGTTATGATGCCGTGTTTCACTACGAGAGAAGCTTTGAGCAGTGAAGCGAGACCAGCCGTTCCCTCCGTATGACCAATCACTGTTTTGACCGAGCCAACATAAAGCTTTTCAATCTCTTTGACACGGGATAATTCTGCATCATCGGCGTTGTAACCTGTGTTAGAGCGATCTGGGGAAAAGGCCATGCTAATTCCCTGGGCCTCCTTTGGATCACCAGCTTGTGTTCCTAAGATATCTATGAGAAACCTGTTAAGCATTCAAGAGTTGACGCTTTTCTTACCTGTGCCATGAGCCTCGAAGTATTGACAGCGTTCATTTTCGTTGAGGCAGTCAAGCCCACATCCCTTATATGTGAGCCTAATCAACTCTGCTTGAGCATCTGCGCTTGGAACCGTGAGACCCGACGACTGGCCGTCCTGATTGATGCCGGTGTTTTTAATTACAGTCTCTATGTCATCTCCGTCGACTTCTGCCGAGGTGAGCGTTTTAAGTACAATGGCTACAAAGCCCTCGCCTCGAGCATAGCCATCGGCGCTTGTATCCCACATTCGGCAATTGCCTGTTGGAGACAGCATACGGAGCTTTCGAGTGTTTCAGCGTTTGGTCTTCATGACTCAGAGATTGAAGGATATGGGCTCACACTTGATAATTGACTAAAAGTTTCTGGACCGAATACTAAGTTTACCCCAGCAACGACAGCCATACTGCATTCTCCTCGCCTCAATGATTGAACTGCTTGGTGCAATGCGACAAGACTAGATGAGCAAGCGGTATCGATATTCAGGGATGGCCCTTTCCAATCAAAGGCGTAGGAGACACGGTTAGCCAGGATCGAACGAGCTATCCCGGTTCCCGTGTACGAAGGATGACAGTCAAAATCATGAAATAGGAGATCGCGATAGTCATCCGTCATCTGTCCGACAAACACACCCGTTGATGACCCTTTCAGCTGTGATTTGGTATATCCCGAAGCTTCAATGGCCTCGTATACTATTTCCAAGAGGATGCGCTGTTGAGGGTCCATTGATTCGGCCTCTCTGATGCTGATATTGAAGAAGTCATTGTCAAAGACTAAAGGATCTTCGTTCAGAAGGTACGCTTTCTTAACGTTGCTTGTCTGTGGATCGCACGTCAGGCGAAAGTGCACAAGAATCTGTCAATGATACTCACACCAGGACGCTCTGGGTTCGGGTGATAGAACGCATCAGGGTTGAATCGGTTGGATGGTATCTTCGATGAAAGATCAGCAGGATGCTTCAACAACTCCCAAAGCTTGCTTGGCGAGTTGACACCCCCGGGAAGGCGGCAGCTAGTGCCAATGATGGCGATGGGCTCTTCCATATTGCTTTTCAATGTGATAACTCTGCGATAACCTTGAAACTGTCACTGGACTCGTGAAGCTACAAAACGTAATCGTTGATGGAAATGGGAAACTTTTGGTGACTGCGGGATTTATATAGTTTATATCCATGAGTAAGACATATCCAGAGCATAACTAAGCTGCGCCTCTTAAGGCTTCTAGATGATATCTTCTATGTTGGCGTCCGCATGGCGTTTGTATTTTCTTCTTTGGGTTTAGAATCTTCATATTGGTAGCGATCGATATGGATGTAGCCTTTACCAGTACGACTTGGTTGACCTACCAAGAGTCTTACACCATATACTTTAGTTCCCCTGATTACAACCCGTTAGAACACGACCTATGCCATATCTAGCGGTCACCGATAGTTTGGTCATACAGCTTATACAGTTGGTCAGCTTGCATGTGATAGTGATAGCGAAGACTTACGAAAGCGAAATCGAATTGAGCGAAAGCGTCGCATTTCTTGCCACGGCAATACATGATAATAGGTCCGATGGACTGGGATTCCGCCGACGATAGTCCTACATTGTAGTATAGAGGTTAGCAGCTAACGATCTTAGCTTGTCTTCCTTTCAAATTAAAGAAATAACTGGCGGGATCTTTGAAGATCGCGGTGAAGTTGATATGCAACCAGGTTAAGATTCCATGCCCGATGCGACGTGATCAAAAGTGGACTTAACGAAGGCTACTTGGGATTGTCCTTTTGGGGCTGAGCCAATGAACTGGCAGATAGGTAAGGGATACCTATTCAGCCCCCAGGACTCCTCCCGGCGGCGTGCCACCCGGAAATCCTGGTATGACGTGTCAAGGAACTCAGAGGTAACACTCCTTTTACGTGAGTTGACAGAATCCCGCTTCCAAATGGGGCGAAGAGGAGTTAGGTGAGGAGGAAACAAGAGAGGGGGTGGAATGCCCGCCTAGAATGAAGTAGAAAAGGAGCTGCACCTCCCTTCCAATCCTGCGAAAAGCTCAATCATATCACAACCCTCGTCGCAGTTTCATCAAATAACAATAAAATCAGCGCTATGGCTACTCATGTTAAATTGACTGTGACTCATTACCGAAGGCCTGAGCACACGCACGAGGCATTTATGAAATGGATTGTTGAAGAGCATCTCCCGCTTGCCATTCCAATCTTCAAGAGATGTGGGGTTCTCAATTACTCGCTCGTGAGTTCTTTTCTATGTCTGACATGATGATCGTCTTAATCACTTACGCAAAGATAGTTCGATACTCCTAAGGATATGAATGCGGAATTGAAGGCAAATATGGGCGGGCACAGAGCGGCGTGGGACTATGCTGACTTTGACTGCTTTATCGAGTACACACTCAAAGACGTCAAGAATATTGGGGAGTTCCTTGCGGATCCCGCCTGGGCCAAATCCATCGAGCACCAGGATGAGTGGGTTGACACTAGCAAGGCTTTGATGTCGATTGGGTACATCACACCCTATCTGCTGGAGTCGGGAGAGGTCGTGAATGTCCCGAATATGAGTTAGTTTACTTTGCGAGGGTGTTGTAATGTTGCCTTTCAAGAGCCCTGTTGGAGGATCGACATGATCACATGAAGATAGTGTCGATAACACCAAAATGGCGAGTCCAAGGGCCTGTTTTCGTTCCTTCATACTCCTATGCCTGCGCGACCAGCTTCATTGAGGCTCTAACATGATACACCATCTAATGCCAAGACCAGACGGAGCTTTCAATTGCCGAAGGCTTGTTAGATAAGCTGCAGCTCATTGTCGTATTAAAGGATTCAGTATAAATGACAAGGGCCTTTGAAAGGGTCTGAATACGTAATCAGTCCCGGCGAATAATCATGACCGTAACGAGGGCCCACACAGGCCATCCACACAAGGCTCTCACGATCGGCGTCAGCGGAAACTCCGCACGCTGCCACAAATACGAAGTCCACCAAGTCAACAAGACATCATTCCTTAGTGTGCACGCCCTTGCGAAGCCTTGTGAAGGGACTTTCAGTACAAAGCAATATGCAAGGATAACACAGCCTCAGCACCTCTAGGGTGGTATAGGTATCGTGATCAGCGGTCGCATAAAATGATGAAGACCTTCCGGCGAGCGATATAGCGAGGTTTGTATGATTGGCGGAATGTTGCCGACTTCTAGGCAGCAATACCACTATGGGTAGGTAACCCTCAGCACACCCGGAATCTCATCTACAGTTGCAAATTTGCTTTTCCGAGTACCAAAGTCGTAGTCAGCCCAATAGCCATGCGTCTTTCAATGTGAGCTGCAGTGTGGTAGCACGACATAAAATTTAGGGTGTAGTTATGCGCCTACCTCTTTGCCAAGCCCCGACGTTGCATAGGCGCAGTGCGATAGGTAGATGTCTGTTCGTTGGTGGTCTGGGCCTGGAGCTCTGCCCGGAATCCGTCAGTTAGTCGATATAACAGACCTGCTTTAATACCATACACACTGTTTCATGTGCACCTCCAGCTGAACATGCAGGTCGCCTACGACTACGGGCGTAATGCGGTTTAGACACAACCTTCGAGTGACATGCACACAGTATTAAGGATTGGATATACAGATTTCGCTACTGGGACCTAGACAGTCAGGACTGGCAGTGATGTTGTATATAGAGTCAAGCCAAGCCACCAAGGCGAAGAGGGAATTGGTCGGTTAAGGACTTTTGAAGCCCTAATAGATCGTTCTATTGTGAATAACACAAGTCCCCGTTACATGCGTTTGTTATGTGCCCCTAACTCTTAATCTCCTGTGCGAGCTGACATAGGCTATGTAGGAATATCCTGAAGGATTTGTACAGTGTCACATATATAACATGGGACCTCACTGTATGTAGCCTTGAGGTCGGCAGGAGGGTCCCGAGGAGTCTCTCGTGCAACAAAAGCAACAAAAGCCATCATCTCATATTCCCACGATAGCAATCCCGACAGGCTGTCACCTTGAAAGTCATGGTGACATAATGGCCCAAGCCTCTTCTAATCATGAGAGTGACAAAACAGTAGCAACGATGCAACACATCCAAGCTCCCAAGTCTACAGTCAAGCTCCGCCACACATGCAATCGCAACCAGTACTCAAGATGAGCAACGCTCTCGCCCTTTGCTCCTTTCTCGATAGCCTTAACAGGAGAGATAATGTAAGGGATCCATGCCAAATGGGCAACCGCGAGTGAAAAAACTGCCAGTCAAGGTTATCAAGTCGTCCCCGGATCTATGGAACCGAAAGATATACCTGCTATATACCATGGGTACACACCATTCGCCGGCAGATCGTGAGATGATCTTATAATCGCCCCACAGGATACTGTTGTGGCTGCGAGAAGACCAAGCACGCGTGGTGCCCCACGGGCGAAAAAGGAGGTGAAGTATCGTGGCAAGATCTGATTACTGAGTGTCTTCAAGTCGGTGTTGAGAAAGAGGACCATTTGTTCGTACTGATCCCAAGAATACCACAGGGAGGACGTGGTTGACATGACAGGAACCAGACGCAACAGTACCGAAACTCCGTGGGGTGACATTTTGAGTGATACACTGATGCCGAGTCTTCGGCCAAAGCTGCGCTAGAATTCAAGTGATGGGTTGATTGGGTAAACTTTGAGCATAGACAGCACAGCCAGTCAGGTTGATATGTTGATAGAAAAGGGGAAGGAATCTACTTTATTCTCCTCACCCCGTCACCTCTTCAAGGGTCCTCCTTGAAGGTTCAAAGTGTCAAAGACGTGGGATTTTGTTCCTTCAGGATTGATCATACCAGAGACTTGCGAGTGAAAAAAATCCAAATTCTTGAAATCCAAAAAGGGAGATATGGTGCGAACAGCTTTTCCTTGTAGATCAGGCAACATCACGCCACACACGGCCGGTTTTAACTTTTCTCGGGACGAAAGGGCATACCCGAAAAGTACCTAGCATCAGTGTTGTGATGCCAGACTCGTAGATGTAAAAGGCGAGCCTAAAAGTACGTAGTACTGTATGGCGAATACCATGCTGCGCCGCAGCTTTGCACAATTGATATCAAAATGGGGCATCCATCTCACACCCTGGAAAAGAAATGCCGACTTTTTCTTGCAGCGATTCGCTACTTAGTATGGACATGTATTGTCATACGAAGTACTTATATATTGCTTACCCGTGTGTACAGCTTGTACAAGGCGGGGTTGGGGGAGTCATGCAGAGGATCATTCTAATGACCAGTCATTACTACCCTCTCCTGTACTGCTAGATGGGCGAGGACTAACAATATGACAGTCAATGCATTCCCATCCCATGACATCCACCAGTCTTTGGTGTACATCATCTTGTTATCCTTCTTATGCCATCCATATTGAGTTGCACCAACAGCTTGCATACCTACCTGAATAAGTACTGTGCATTTGTGGCTTCTAATGCCAACATGGATGATACACAGCTACTTCGTAAGCAAAGATCATAGCCTAGGTACTAAAACAGTTGGGTGTCAAGTACCAACATCTATTCACGCCTGAGTCATGCAATGTAATATCATATTCTGTACCCATTAATTCAACGAACTTAAGTGGTGCTAAATGTACTCTGCACAAAGTCTAAAGGGACCAGAAGTCTGAGAGAATTCAAACTTCTTCATCTTTGTTCTCATATCTCTGGACTCCTATCTCCAGCTCCAGAACCCTAACACCTATCAGCTAGACAAGGCTATAAGGTGCCCCACGGGAATTCTCCCGGGCAGGCAACCGAGGGTAGGCAAGATGTAAGTAGGATCCTGGATCCTGGGCCCATCCAAGGCTATCTGCGTACCTAATGCAAGCTGGTTTTGGAACGGGAACACAGAGCCAGGGGCCCCTCCATCGCCAGGTACCCAGTACCTATGGTAGCAAGTACCTATGGTAGCAAGTACCTATGGTAGCAAGTACCTATGGTAGCAAGTACCTATGGTAGCAAGTACCTATGGTAGCAAGTACCTATTAACCAACCCCTCCATTACGATAGAGTACCTAATTACCTAATTACCTATTCTCAGCGCAATTCTAGAGCCTTGATCATGTTGGGGTGGTACTTACACAGCGTAGCTAGCTAAGGTCCCTAGGTACTTTACGTAAGAAGATATAGGTACAGTAGTATCCAACAACTGCTACGTATCCTACCCTTCTCGATTATTCGGGGAATGTCACATATTCGTCAGAGAAATTCCGACGAGTGATAGCTAGGTCTGCTAGGTACTTCAGGGTCCTACCGTATAATCCAGTATTATTTACTAGGGTCTCATTACATCTTCTAACCAGATTTGCCGCCGCCCACAACAATCCCTGCCCGCCTTAGTACCGGTAGTGCATACAGAGTGTTTTCAAGTTGCTCATTGTATCCAACAGAGAAAGCTCACCAGACGAACGTCCTCCCCTGTCCATTCTGACTCCAAAACCATCATGACCTCGTTTTAACAGAGATGAAAAAAAAAAATAAATAAATAAAAAATAAAAATCCACAGCTCATTCAGGCGTCTGCGTCATGCTGAATCGGAGCCGCCTCTGGGATTCAGACTCCTGGACGTTGTCATGGACTGTTCCGATGGCCGTCTGAGTAGTATCCAACTTTGAACTCATAAACCAATGCTCCCTAGGTTTCCGAATGGGCCGCAGCTCACTCGAGTTATAATACGCATCCGACTGGTTGGACGCAGTAGTATCGCTCTTGACAGTCATGTAGCCTCTCAGCACCGTGTATGTCTTTGATTGCCTTAGACCTAGCATGCCTTTTGGCACAAAGGGAACACACAGGACTAAGTTGGCGGCCAGCGTCTCGGCAAGTGAGGATATAGCGAGTATGGAGAAATAGTAGCTAACGTCGTTCGAGACGTAGAAGCGTGAAGCGTAGTAAATACGCACGGCGTTGGCCGCGACAGCACTGTCGTTTCGATACTAGATTAGCTTCGTCTCCGCCTAGGTGATGAGAAAGGTATCTATCTACATACGCTAATCCCGTCAGAAACATAAAGCTGACGCCCAGTTTCTTGTGCCATGTGAGACGGAGGCCCCAGATCACCTTCTGCACAAGAATGAGTGGGATGAGGTCGAGTATGAAGTTGGTCGTGGATATCGCCAGCACGAACTGCGGGACTTCGAAGCGGCACTTTCGTCCAGGGACCAAGAGGTTCCAGTTACCTTCGAAAGGCGTACAGTTGGCCAAGTCTAGTATGAAGATGATGAGCGACAGTGAGGCGAAGCTGAAGCACGTTGCCCACGCTGCCCAGGTAAACGAATTGCGCTCGCCTCGGGGGACAAATATCTCGATCCATTCGAGCAAGATCGCGCATTTGATCAGCGCGATGTTCCATACGTATAACAGAGTAGCAACAAAGGTGATCTGGGGTCGGTATTTAGTTCGGATATCAGGCTCCTGTGTGTGCTTGGCATATGAGAACCTACAAGATTAAAGGCTGCCGTGTCTTTCAACCTGATATCCCATTGGTGGACAAGATAGCCGCCAGTCCAGCTGAGGCTATAGCTGTAATAGATGTAGACCCAGAAAATTGGCTGAATACAGGATTTGGTTAGCGAAGATTCTGCAGGTCGGGGTACAAGTCTTTGTCTAACGCACGAATGCGAAAAATGTCAAGTCTAATATCGTAAAATCAGCTGAAATCAATCTAACGACGGGAGGAGCGACATACAGTCGGACAGAGTTAGCCTCTTTGAGAGGTACTTGGCATAGAAGCGAATCAGAAATAGTAGAGCAGATACAATAACTGAGACGGTGATGAAAGGTATTGCAATATAATTGCCGTTGGGCGGGTTGTCAAGCTGTGGGATCTGACCATCGGGTGCCGGAATCGACGGACCATCCAGATCAGGCGCTTGCCTCGAGAGAATTGAGCTCAATGCTGACATCTTGAGCTGCGATGGTCGAGGAGCGATTGGAATAAGAGTTCAGGTTATTCTGAAGAGGCGTGGCGCCTCGAGGATATTGCTTATGGTCTATGAAAGCCTCGTTGTGTTGCGAAGTAACCGATGAGATATTACCGCCCGCATGGTGAAATATCTTTGCTTTGCTGGTCTCATCTCTTAGTGGAACCCCCTGAAAAGATGTGTGCTGAACTTGGTATGCAGTACCATCATCCCAGTCATATTTCAGTGCTACTATGCCGAAGCCTGCGGCGCATATACCGAGTCAGCTTGCATGAACCCCCTAACAGTCCGCAAAGCAGGGAACTGCGACAAGTAGGCTGGGTTTCTGGCACACATCACCCTCAACTACGTGTGGGCGTATGGTGCGAAGTATCTGCACAGGTAGGTGAAGTGGTGTACTAACACATCTCTGAGTCCTATGAGGATTGGTAGGCACATTAGCGATCATTTCTAATCTCGATAATAGCACTGACACCTATATTATGATTTCCAAATACGACCTCACGGTGATACGTCGGACTTTTTAGTTCTACGAATCCTTGATTACGCTTGCAGAGAATGGCACACTGACATCCAGTCAATCCATCAGGCGCACCGGCTTACTGCAGGAGCTGGCTCAAAACAAACAACAATCACGGCCCCCAATAGCGTGGATTAGGCGGTGCCGGATAGCACCGAAATAGCAGGTAGGGACAAATTGAAGGAATATGAACCGATTTCGATTATTTTTCGCATTCTCTTTTTCCATCAAGTCACCAAATCACCTTCTCTCAGGTCTCAGATCTTAGACCATAAGTGTTCACTGTAAATTATATGCGTCGTCACCTATTTTCTCAAAACACTCTTTGTGTATATTCACCCAGAAATCGAGATCTACTAGGCAACAATGAACGAGGAAAACAGTGCTACCGTGCCGGTACCCGCCCCCCAAAGTCGTGGGTGGCGCTTCTGGGTAAGTTTCGCACTCGATTCTATCTCATACGGCATCGATATTCTAACTATCTCAATTTCATAGGCTATAATGACCTCGATGGCCTTATCCAGCGTCCTTGCTGGACTTGATGCCACGGCTGTCTCAACAGCTTTGCCATCTATTATTCACGATCTTGGCACCAGCCAAGGATTCGTATGGATCGCCAACTCATATTTGCTCACAACAACGGCTTTCACACCGATATTTGGGCAAACGGCCAACATATTTGGTCGCAATGTGCTCACGCTTCTTGCCATAATCATCTTTGCCATTGGCTCCGCCATTGCCGGCCCCGCTCCCACACTTGGCGCTCTCGTAGCTGGTCGAGCTATTCAGGGTATCGGATGCGCTGGGCTTAACACGATGGTAGAAATGGTGGTATGCGACCTAGTGCCTCTGAGAGAGCGAGGAAAATTCATGGGTTTCATTTTTGGCATTTACGCAATTTCTACCATTATCGGCCCCATCGTTGGCGGGGCCTTTGCGACTTTTGTGACCTGGAGATGGGTCTTTTATATCAATCTACCTTTATCCGGTCTTACCTTGGCTATGGCGATTAGCTCGTTGAAGGCCTTACCCAAAGGTTTGAAATCCGAGTCCAAAAGCTCGATCAAGCGAATTGATTTTGCGGGGAATGCACTGCTCGTCACGGCGATCACCTCCATCCTTCTCGCATTGACTTGGGGTGGTGAGCAATTCCCGTGGTCGTCATGGCGAACAGTGTTACCCCTTGTCCTTGGCCTCGTAGGGCTTCCTCTGTTCCTGCTATTCGAGACCAGAGTCCCGGAGCCAACTACACCTCTCAGGCTGTTTAGCAATCGAACCTCTCTTGCCGGCTTCTGGTGCGCCTTCACGCACAATATGTTGATATTTTGGGTTCTTTTCGCTCTCCCCATCTACTTCCAAGCTGTTCTCAGAGATTCTGCTTTCCGATCTGGTGTCGCCATTCTGCCAACAGCTGCTGTGTTCGCACCGATTACCATCATCAGCGGAGGCGTCATGTCAAAATTTGGGCGTTACCGCCCTCTGTTGATGGTTGGCTTCGCTTTTATACCGATTTCAATCGGGCTTCTAACGAGGTTGAATGAAACGACAACAACTGGATACTGGGTTGGCATTCAAATCATCGGTGCTATTGGTTATGGAATTATCACCCCGGTGACTCTGCCAACTATTTTAACCCCACTAGCGGAATCAGACGTGGCCGTCGGAACGGCTACTTGGGCGTTCATGCGTGGATTTGGTACGATATGGGGAGCTGCCATACCTCTCGCTATCTTCAACTCCAAAGCCGATCAATTAGTTTCAGATCGCCTGCGTGACTATGAGACGGCGCGGGCAGCACTCGCTCACGGTGGTGCGTACACGTTGGCTGCTGGGGGGTCTCTCTATTCAACATTGGATCTCGATGGTAACCCTGCCCTGGAAGCCATTGTAAAGCGGATCTATGTCGACAGCCTCAAACTTTCCTGGCAAGTGGCCCTTGGATTCTCTTTGTTCGGCTTCCTCTTGACGTTCCTGGTCAAGGAGCTGCACATGCGCGGTGAGCTAGAAACAGAGTTCGGGTTAGCGGAAAAGCCTACGAAGAAAGACAATGAAGCAACTGGGGAGCATTCGCCGTCCGAGTCTGCTTGATGTGGTAACTAGATATGGGATATACAAGCAGCCCATTCGTCATGAGCTTTGGTAGCAATCTCATTCCAGAATTAAGGAAGTACTGGGGTTGCGCAAGCTGATGAGCCTATTTGGACACATGACGCATGGAATACGCGGAATCGGAGAGAAAGCTGAAGGTATGAGTGGAAATTTTATATCTTGTAATTACAGTGGTACCTGATAATAGTTGAAATACGCCGTTTGAGGATGATTTGACCTGCGAGGGACAATGCTAAGACCTAATAGATTCGATTTTTAACGGAATTATAGCGGCCTTCTACAGGGCTGGGAATTAGTAGGTATACTAGGTACAGCAGTATACGACCTTTTGATGTGGTCCCCTCATTGCTATGGCGGGCCTCATGGCTCACAACAATTGCGAAATTTACAGTATGGGCTTACCCCAATACTCAGGGCTTTAGACTGAGAGGCTTGCATGCCTACCTAGGTACTCACTCTTCACACATGCTGCTCTCAGGGGTTTACACACCATCCCCAGAAAGCCGCTGTCTTTCCCTCGGACGTAGCCGGGAGCATACCTAGTCGTGCAATGAATTAGACTCTTCCCCAAGGCCGGATTCAGGTTCCATTGTCGCCATCATTCACCTCAGGGGCAATTGGGTGAACAGTATCGTGTACGTGCCATGCCGAGGATCGTAGAAGATCGGTGATCTGAGAAAGGCGACAAATAACCAGTTTCTCTCTGTCAGGGGTGCTCGGATTCCGACAGACGCGGATCATTCTTTCGCTACCCCACCCTCTGCCGGCCTGTCTATCTACTTACCTAGAGCTAAGAATTAGTTCCCGCCTTGGACGCTGTAGGTATAATCCTCATGGATCAATGCAGGGCACTTCCAACATGGACGAAGTCGATGCCACCTCCGACGCATTCCATCTCTACCTGCACAGGGCCGACGGGATTATGCGCGCCGAATCCTTGGGCGTCACCCGAGCCATGTCGTGAAGCCAAGGGGTAAAGAGCAGCTGTGTCCAAGAGCACTAAACAGTTAGCGCCAGCATGGGCTTACGTAGTACATGTAAATACCCTGCTTACCTATGTAGGTAGGTAGGCATACTTGGTGGTGGTCTCTGGACGCCTCCGTTGTCAACATTGATCCGCAGCACGTCAAGTCGCGTTTCAAAATTGGCGGCAGCGTTTTTAATTTTCGGATAAGTGTCGAGATGTAGATGCCTGTACCCTCCCAGTTGTTGCGGGCGGTGTGGTGACAGGCTTGCCACACTGGCAATAGAGGCTTTGATCTTGGGAATCGATCGCCCAGCATGAGACTTCACCTCACCAGTCTGCCAGCCCTAGCCCAATCCCTAATCTAGGTAAATGGCCTCCTATGCTAAATTAGTACCCGCTCAACATGTGGAGACTATAGGTTCATAGCACCGCGCGATGTCTAAAGAGGAGTAGCCCACCGCAATGCCGGTATTTGCGTCCAGGGACGATGACAGCGGCGACGGTGCTGTGTGACGACCGGGACTTTGCTGGCAATGTGACTAAACCCACGATCACATACAGCGAACAGCGTAACTCGGTCCTCACAGGCATATATGTAATTATTGAGGTATCTACTAGGTAAACAACTAGGTAGCTGTGGGTGGCCGTATGAGCGCATTCTTTATCTCAGCGATTACGAGGGCCCGTCGTGAATAGACCAGAATGGTTTCTTCTTTATCACTTTCGAAAATCGAAGAACACAAAGTTAGATTGATGCCTTATACATGAGGCTTGATGACTGACGGAGATCTCGGCGTGATGTAGATGTCTGCCGCCGCCCACGTTGCCCGACCAGGGAACCTTCCAGTCTGCCAGGCATCGACTTGGACATGATTTATGTACCTACCGAGCCTATTTAGGGACACATAAAAATCAATACATGGGATATCTCAAGTTATCTCACCTCGCCAAACGAACAGAACCACTTATCTCATGCTTCGGCATTCGTTTCGCCCAACATGGCTTCGTTGAATCTGGTGGCGCTCCCACAAGACATAATGTTCATGCTGCCCAAGTACCTACACAACATCGAGGATTTGATGAACACGGCCTCAACATGCAGGAGACTCAGAGAGTGTATGGCCTCGGCCATCCCCAACGTTATCCTACAACTAGCCGTCGCCCAGAGCAGAGTCTTCTTCCGCCCATCCCCGCTCTTTTTAGTCACCGCGACAGCACGACAGTTAGGCAACTGGGCAAGACGATCCAGAGCGAATGAAGACAAACTTGCCCTGAAGCTTGAGGAGGGCGTCGATGGCCTACTAGACCTAGCCCTCGATCATTGCGGTCTGACCATGGAGCGGATTAGAGAACTGCGCCTACTGCGGTTCTCCCTCATCAACCCTGTAGAAGATATCATTGACAAGTGTGTTGGCCACCAGCGGCTAGATAACCCCGACTTTTGGCACGACGGACTTGATGACGAGTACACTATCGACACCGAACCCAGTGACACGCTGTTCCACTTGGCCATGTACGGAGAACTGTTCGCGCCCGACTTCGAGCCCATCCTCAACCAGGACTCCCAAACACGCAGATTAAGCGTCGAAACTCGACTAGAGTTTATCAAATACTGTCTACCGGACTTTGCCTGTCATCTCAACGGTCATATCGGCTCATCCTTATTGCTGAACCCTGGCGAAACCCTAGACCCCAGACGTGAAGTCAAGCAGACTGGTCCGTACGCGAAAGGTCCCGATGGCAGAATCCCCGACATGAACAATAACAACTTGGCATTGACCTGGGTCATACGAAGCAGCCATTTCAGGCGGTACTATAAGGCCCTGCGAGCCAAGGCCGGCGAATATGAATTCCAAGAACGCTTCGACGACGGATGGTGGTTTAACGAGAGTTCTCACTCAAGATTACCTGGTGACTATTGGCGACAGCGGTTGTGGGAGAATGTTATGATTTCCCAGGGCTTGGAAGGATTGGAAATGCTGAGACCTGATACTGAGGACAAGTGGATTGGGAAGATCAAAGAGTGGAGGGAGAAGATCATGAACATGGATAACGAACCGCCGCTGACGAAAGTTGGACGGCAGGCTACGCTTGAGTACCCTTACTTGCTTGGGGACTTGAGAATCTGTGCGAGTGGCTATGTGACAGGGACGTAGGGTCATATTGGTTTTCTACGATGCGCAGAACTGTCACGATGCGAAGCATGTATTCTCACTTGTCGTAACGACAACCTTGACGTTCGACATCTAGCGGTATTCATGGAGATTCTACCTGAGCTGGGTCTAGATAGGAATGCACGTTTTCGCAGCAAATTCATCGCGTTACGCTCGTGATGTCCCTGCTTTTTGATTTAGACCAGCCCCCCCGTGGGTAAGAACCGCTTCTTGGAAGATCCAGCCGCGCGCTAACTACTGTGAAACACGTATCAATCCCAAACCGCCCACGGCTTATGATAAAATGACTCTACAAAGACCTATGTTATCTACTCTCTCCGGGAGCCTTAGGCAAACCCCCGCGCAGCGACAATCGTCAATTCAGCCCGCTTTCTCATAGGCAGATTAAATGCATCCGTCAATCCTTATCCTGTTTCATGTCCATGTTATCCTGTTTAAATCAGAGTTTAAGCTAGCGATAGTTACGACATCGCAGCCAAGAAAGGGGTTACTAAATGCGATATACCGTATGAATACTATATTTACACGGTTACCCCCTATGGGTGCTCGCTATTGGTGTCCCGGATTTGGAGACCGATCAGAGGATATCGAAAACTATTCAGTCCTGTATTTTTGACGAGCAGGTGGAACGCAGTTGAGGCGGCGTCGATGTGATGGCGAGTATGGTAAGAGACAAAAAGGACATTAATACAACCATATCGACGCATTCAACATGTCATTTTGGTCAGGTTTTATGATACAATGATTACCTAGATGATGTACTACAAGAACTATCAAGTATAAAAACTCACCTCTCTTTAGGGAGCATCGTTTTCAGTGTGGCTTGTATATTGTTCACGTTGTGTATGCTCTTGTTTTACGTACTTAACGGCGATGTTGATGCTGTTTATGATCACAAGTACTCCAGAATCGATCGAATTCAGAGACTATCATGTATTGCTATGGCCTAATGTTCACAATTATCTGCCAACAGACATTCAGGATTCATTCCTATGCGTGACCTATGGGCCATCTTCAGACCGATTCTTGCAAGTACCAAGCATGATGTTTCAAATCAAACTCAAGCCAATTTTCGAAACGCAAATAGACGATTATAGAGAGGGAGAGGTGAAGAGCTTCATCTCCTCGGTGGAGAATGGGGCAATTCTATCTCGCATGCGGATAGCAGCAACGCCAACCTGGTGCGCAAGGTCGTAGTCGAGCATATCGCTGTAGAGGCAGTACACGAAATCCGGGCAGAACTTGGCAAGCAGGATGGCGAAGGAGTTGTCCCGGAACGCCCGTGGTATGTTGCCAGGGGCACGCGATCTGTACACCTTGAAGGCCACGTTGATCTCTGCGAGCTTGGCTCGGTGGAAGTCCTGTGTCATGCTGTTGGCTGGGATCGTCTGCCAGTACTTAAAGGCGCTGAAGTGAGCCCGTGCACACAGCGTGATGGAGTCGTAGACACCTGCGTCGCAGTGGAGCATCTCGGAGAGCCAGAGAGCCTCCATGTAATCGGCGCCTTGGTAGTTGGCGTGACCAAGAACAGGGGATTGTATGCCATAGATGGCCTGCATGAGAATCTTGACCTCTTGGATTCCGACATCTTGAAAGGCCGTCTGATCTGTCAGAGTATACGAGGGCTTGGCTGGAGACTTGAACACGTCCTGGAGAAACTTGCAGTGGACTAGAACTCGCTCGTGGAGGCGGACTCCGTAGGAACCCACGAAAAGATATACAAGACGTCTGTTCAATCTGTCAGTATGAATAAATATGCAATTTGAGGTTTCGCTAACTCGTCAGTGGAATACCCATTCTGGGGGTCATAGTTGAAGAGGCTACGATTGAGCGTCTTGAAGTCCTCAGCAGAAAGCTCAGGAAGGACAGACATGTCGTCATCTACGTTGCCGTCTCCAATGGAAGCAATAGTGAGGTAATCCTCCGAGGAAGTGTAGTTTTTCTTAATTGCGTAATAGCAACAACCAGTTGGAGCATTGTCAGCGAATGTCACTTCCGTAATGGGAGGTTTAATGGGATTCGGGACTTGAGTTGCATTGTGGGCGGTTCCGGGATCGATGAATGCTACTTCAGCGTTTCCATTCATCTCGCCTGCTGTCTCGGTGAGCTTCTATAAGAGTTTGTTCAAGAGTCAGGAAGGCTTACATTCTTTGAGATGACTCTGGGGGTTGCGACGTTCGAGTGGAAATGCAATTACCTCTGTATCATAAGCAGATCCTGGTGTATTGGTGCCATCGCGATCAGATCCGGCCATGGTACTCTAGGAACATGTTAGTTTTGAGAATAATTTCATCTGAAGCAACGAGTAGACGAACCTGGAGATTTTTATCATCATCAACGCAGTCGCCGAAACCCAGAACTGGCGCTCCTTCGAACACCTTGACCACAATCTTCTCCTCTTGGATATCTGCCATCGTGTAGTGGTCTGACTTTCTGCTTTAGTCTCGTGTGGTTGTTGGTAATTCAAATGACAATTGCCCTGGCTGCAATGAAATGAGAATCAGTAATGGATGCAATCCAATGTTATGAGTTTGTACGGGGTATTCAAAGCCCTGGCGCACTGGAAACCGGTCGGTGAATCACGGTGACGAGGTCAGTGGTAGGATGTGCTGTACTCCCTCCATGAAGGAAGGCTAGATAATGAGGGGTACGCGATAGTCCGCACCTTTCATAGGTAGCTGAAGATCTTGCAACTTAGCGGCAGCCTACCTCGACTACGCCGTCAAGGCTACGAGACTGGTGGAAAGGAGCAGGGCGACATTGAGGATACGATATCACCAGAGTATACATATAACAGGGAAAACTCACTTGGAATGGCTTGATACTAGTGGCCTCGTGTCCACAACACGATGGTATGCTAATGTTGGGAGAGTGGAAAGGTTGACAGGCGGGCAGAAGAAATGGGAGTAGTAGAGGAACAGGCTGGTTGAAGACTGTGTGTTGAGACCACGCTTTAAATATGAAGTGGTTTGCTGGCAAACGTACAATCACTTGCAATGGAGTTGGGTGGCGTGCGTAAACGAGAGGAGGAAGGATCGAGGGACGCGATGAGGGGGTGTTGGTCTGGTAGTGCTGGCAGAAGATGGACTGCGTGGTGGAAGGTATATATACCTACTGAAGTGTACCTCGGGGTCATTGCTACTGCCTAGGTCACAAATAGAAGTACTGAAGTAATTCTAATCATCAATGGATATGTTGAATGCCAGGCATTCCATAAAGAGTGACATTGTGTCAACGATTGAGATGCATCATGCTTGCAATACATATGTGTCATACTGTTTGAAGTCTACTTATTCTTTGTATATATATAAAGAACGGATAATACTGGTTTGGCAACTCATTTCTTTTCTTTCAGTCCTACTTATGTGAAGCTATGCATGTACAAGGATTCTAGGCGGATGTATGTATCGGTCCGGTGCACAGGCCGCTACCGGGATTCACGATATCGGGGGCAAGTGGGGCGTGCAAGCGGGACCGGAGCATGAGAAGGTTGATTGTGAACCCGGACCCGGATTTGTTGCCCGGAAGTCAACAAGAAATGGGGCACTGCTACTTAATTGGCTTCGGAGATCACTATTGGTGCCTTTCAGCCCACCACCCAGAAACAAGTGCTGCAATCTACATAGGTACGTACTCGCATTCTGATGGTGCATGGGAAGCTACAGCCATTGGTTTGCCCAAACAATTATACCAAAACGGAAACACAATTCTGGGTCTAGGCAGCATAGAAATGCAATTCATCTGATATCTATGTAGCTAAAATGTAACAAAGTTTAGTAAAGATCTAGTAATCTGAGTGTTGTGAAGTGATTACCTGGTGTAGGCATATGCAACAATTGAATAAATACTAAATAAATTTGGACAGTCTGTTGTCTCCATATTCTGTGTTAGATGTATAGCACGTAAATTACCCTATAACCACTCAATTTGCGTCAACTGATTCCAATCATCCCAGCCACAGACTTGAAAAACTCCCTATAAGAATCACTTGGATCTTGCCGGGTCCTCGCCAGAATCGTATTTTTCTCAGTGCTGGCTGAAGCTTGACTCTCCTAAACTTGGTTGACGCTTGGTTGCCTCTGGTTCTCGCTAAGTTCGTATCCATCGATACCACCGGGGTATTTGTTGATAAGTCTCTCCATCTCCCCCATCACCCTATTTCACCATGTTAGGCAACTCAGCATGCTTAGTAAAAGGGCCTCTTACTGTTCTCGCAGAAATTGCCGATGGTCATGAAGGCCGACATTGATGATATTGTCACACCTATCAACAAGATCCACAATCAGCAGAGCTATGCATATGGAAAATTGCAGGGGGCAACTCACATTGCATATATAGAGTTTCGATCATCAAAGTCTTCTACAGGAGCAGATGGCGGTACCAGTTCTTTGTACTTGTCAGCATGCTCCTTTGTAAACTGATACCGAGGCTCTCTCATCATGGCAAGATCGACTAAGACTCAGGTCAGACCATGGAGCCAACATAATCCACAAGTTTATCTCACGCTCATTGTGACCATAACAACAGCATGAATCGTATAAAATAGCACGCCGAGTTGTTGTATCCAGCTGAATATTACCAGGCCAAACATCACCGTGGACTAGACTCGGTTTAATAGTTCGTCCACCACTTTGAAGGGGCCGCAAAAGCCGCGGAATAACCTTCTCAAAGAACCTTTCTGCAGTCTCGTCGAATTTCGGATCAGGTCCTCGGACACTATGCATCCACTGGATATCTGCTCTCAGCTGGCGACCATAGTACTCTTCCCAAGTATCACACCAATCATTAACCAAAGGAACAACGCCATTGAAAGTCGCCACGTGGAACCCAAACTTCCCAGTTGGGGAAGCTGAAGTTCGATGTAGTTTGTCGAGCACTTCAGCGAGCGGCTGTGAATCAAGTACTTTCTCGCTTAGATGACGAAATGGTGTCAAGAAGAATGACGAGGAGGAATCAAGTTCAAGTGTCCCGTATGCTGAAGGTGAGGCAACATTATCAGGTAGATACTTCTCCAGTTCTTTCTGGCTCTCAAACTCCCCGCGAGCCATCTCAAAATGATTCGGCCGGCTGATAACCTACAAATACTCGGACATCAGTTTTTATGCGTTGTATCAAGACCCTGGACGTTACCATACCTTCACAAAATACTCAATCTCTTCATCGTCGACATCAATGTCTACTTTGTAACCAGAAGACCAACTACCTTTCCCATGGGGACTAACAGAAACGACATGGCAGCCAACAGGCATTGCTAGGAGGCGTATGTCAGAGTAAGCGAACCATCAGTTCGGGCATGGTAAGCCGCCTCACTAACCTGCCAAGATCGCAGGGTCCAGCGATTCATCCATTGCGAGTGAAAAGGAAGCCAAAATATTAGTTAACGAATTAGATGTGCTTACCTTGAGCATTGAATTCAATTGCCTAACTGGCAATTATAAGAAAAGTGACAAAGTATGACTCGGTCGGATGAGGGGAGATACTACAGTAAGGTGCAACTCGTCCATCATGCAGATGCCCCTGTCTCCACGCCATCCTTCATCTGACATAGTCTACCTGGCAACAAGTAGTGAGAGACATCCTCCGCATTTGTCCAGTTCAAGGCAGAAACGCCGCGCTCAATCAGCATTATGCTGCCGCTACCAACGTTGAGATGATTGTTAGACTACCTCCTATGACATCGTTGGAGTAACAGGGTACTGATCTCCAATTTAGGACCAACTGCCTACAGCAAAGTCGTCGTTGGATAATGAATCCTCTCTCCCCAGCCTTTCCGACAATTCCACTGTTTACTCATCCGAGCCGCATCGAGAATTCCCATCGCAATTGGGGGGAGACAGAACGACTGTTGGCTTTCTTCGGCGCCGCTTTCCATCGGTACGGCCTCAGAAGCGCCAAGAAACCGACCAAGGTGGACTGAAAGGTCCTTTTGGACTTCAGTTATTACACGCCTCGCCGCAACCTCTGATTGATATTGTATTCGTACATGGGCTTCGTGGCGGATCATTTAAGACATGGCGCAAAGGGGACGACTCTCAGCTGTTCTGGCCTCAATATTGGCTCCCGATGGAAACCGATCTGCGTAATGCAAGCATACACTCCTTTGGGTATGATAGCGATCGAGGGAGCCTCAATCCAGGTGTGCTTAACGCACACGACTTCGGACGAACTCTTTACGGGGAACTGGGGTCATCGCCCTATTTGGGACGGAATTCTAACGTAGAGTGCCCTCCGAATTGGATCAAACGACGAAGAGAGAACCTAATAAACTGATTTCCATTAGTCTCCGATTATCATGGTGGGACACTCCATGGGCGAACTAGTGATCAAGAAGGTGTGCTTCTTCCGCCCCCAGGGGATCCAACTTCAGACTAACCAGCAACAAGGCATATATATTAGCCCACGAAGACCATACCCATCCCTAACTTTCTAGCCGTATTCGTTCTATATTCTTCTTAGCCACCCCTCATAAAGGTTCTGAGTATGCTTCGACTCTCAACAGAATCCTTAAACTATCTGGTGTCACAAGAATAACGTCATCCCGCGAATACGTTAGCGAATATTCCAGGCAGGTTTGATCTTGTGTATGACAGTAAAGTCGTCTATCATAATACCATAGCTTTCCCTTCCGAGGTTGTAGGTGGCCAGGTGGAACTTGAACTTAGTTTGGACCCTGGATTCACACCGGTTCGAATTGATTCGATTGCATTCGACTCCGTGACATCATCATTTAATATATCTTTTGGAAGCACGGCTCAAGCTCTTGCTGTGCACTTTAGCTCCAGGTATAGAACTCATTGAAGTGAAAGGTGGTGCTCCTTTCTCGGTCTGTGTGCCACCTCAATGATGGAATACTCTTATTATGCCTTGCGAAGGTCTCTGACTTTATGTTAAACTTCTCTTGCAGAATATGCATGGCGCCGAACAATTCGGCATGGGGCTCCCAGAGGACGACCTTAGTCAGCTTCCATCTACAAGCTTCTTCGACAGCATCCATCAACATAGCTGCAAGCGCCTCATGGTGTATCTGACTCGGTGCTTGCTGAATTCGGACTCTCTGAACTGCTAGCTGTTGCTTTCGAAAATCGTGATACCAATATAACCAAATATCCGCACCATCACATATACTGCCATGACTTCGTGGTGGTGCTGGCTCTATCTTGGCACCAATGAAGTTGCTCCGATCGTGAAGCCATGATATGAGATCAGCAGTTGGAAGTACAGACACATGAAACTCATCGGGCTGTACGGTAAGCTTATCAAAGTAGTTCTCAACGTCTCTCATATCCTGCCTGCAAAGCTCTGGCAACTCTGTGCTTAGTATTAGACGTGTTACCGGGGGCCCAGCTCTGTGTGTCCATGGAGAGAAATCAGCTGTCCATGACAGCGTGGACTGAATCGCGGGCAGTTTTGCCCAATCTCTGCGTTCGTAAAACTATTCTATAATATCAGTATCGTATTTTGCTACATGAACATGTTGAAGTTGGGTAAAGCACTAACATCCCCTATGCTAGTATATAACATACTAGCCGCAGCATCGCCAGGACCATCTAGCCACACTTTAACATATTCCAAGAGTCGCGATGCGAGCCCCAGGCCTCGGTATTGGGGATGTGCGACTACACTTGCAATACAGTAGGCCTTCGCTCGGCTAAGGCCGGAGACATCGCGAATCAGAAGTTCCCTGGGAATCGTCTTGCATGTTGCGAGAACCTCACCAGGATGATCCAGGAGGTACAAGCACCACAAACGCCAGCCTTTGTTCTTAACCAGTGGCTTCTGTGATAGATATATCCCCTGCTCTACATAGTCTTCTTTATTGAGCGGCATGCTCCACTCGGCTGCCGCGAGATGGCGACATGAAAGTTCTTGTTCGGGAGTTGCTTCTCCGAAAGCCACTGTTAGGACGCGGTCCGGATCCTGTAGTTTGATTGCGAATTCACGCATCTTTGGCTCAGTATTTGAAGTATAACACATACGGAAGCACAATCAAAAAAAGAAAAACAGTTTCTCTAAGAGCCTCAATTGGCTGTGTCGTATCTGTTCCTTCTGCTCCCTTTCGTGATGCACTCACTCCCTGCATCTAACACAAACATGGACCCTGTAAGTACTTGGGTAGGTACCCCCTATCTAGACTAATGTGGCGCAGTGATGGCATCTTCATGAGATGTGGCTCGAACATGGCTTAGGCTACCACATAGGTACCTAAGTATCCGCTAAGTTAGGTAAGTGCGCATCCGAGTTAGTGGGCTGTATAGTGGTTCCTCAGAAGCCGCAGGTATCCACTGAAAGGTGCTTACCTCTTACACCATAGTGGGCATGTTTGCTGGGAGCTACCCAGGTTGACTGGTACATGAGCTGGATCCTATTATTTGCTTCCCTAACCTCCCTTCTACGACATACCGACAAACACAAACATAACCTTTCACCGACGCACATAGATGAGCCGCACCCGTCAGCGCTCATTGCTTGATGCGACTCGATGACCCGTGAGATCTCTTTCTGAAGATTGTGCGCGCACTTGCAATTCGTCACTCTGCTCTGCACTCGACGGCTCCGTCCCCCCCAGCTCCGCGGCTATCTACCTCTGAGGTCATGTCCAACACTCCGGCTCCGCCTGAGGACCAGGCGAGGCTGCTCGAAGATGCTCTGGTCGCCGTTCGCCAGCAGACGGCGCTCATGCGCAAATGTCTAGAAACCCCCGGAAAGCTCATGGACGCTCTGAAGTGCTGGTATGTTAGCTGGCAAGCCCCATCTTGTGTTACGTCACGTCATTCAACTCTAGGCATCCGCTTAACTCTGTTCTCCCAACATGTAGCTCAACCCTCGTCTCCGAACTGCGCACGAGCAGCCTGGGACCAAAGCAGTACTATGAACTCTACATGGCTGTTTTCGATGCCCTACGGTACCTTTCCGTCCACCTTAAAGAGAACCATCCCCACAACCATCTCGCCGACCTCTACGAGCTGGTCCAGTATGCCGGCAACATCGTCCCGCGCCTATATCTCATGATCACCGTCGGCACCGCGTATATGTCGGTCCCCGATGCCCCCGTGAAGGAGCTCATGAAGGACATGATGGATATGACCCGTGGTGTCCAGCACCCTATCCGAGGGCTGTTCCTTCGCTACTACCTCTCTGGCCAGGCGAGAGATTATCTACCCACCGGCGATAGCGATGGCTTAGAGGGAAACCTACAGGACTCAATTAGCTTTATCCTGACTAATTTTGTCGAGATGAACAAGCTCTGGGTCCGCTTACAGCACCAGGGCCACTCGAGAGAACGGGAGCAGCGAACGCGGGAGCGCAAAGAACTACAACAGCTTGTTGGCAGCAACATCGTGCGATTGAGCCAATTGGTCGACCTAGAAGCCTATAAGAACGGCATCCTGGGCCCCTTACTAGAACAAGTCGTCCAGTGCAGAGATGTTTTAGCACAGGAGTACCTGCTGGAAATCATCACCCAGGTGTTCCCCGACGAGTTTCACTTACACACACTCGATCAGTTTCTCGGTGCCGTCTCACGCTTAAACCCTCATGTCAATGTGAAAGCGATTGTAATCGGGCTCATGGACAGACTATCCGCCTACGCCGAGCGGGAGTCGCAACAGAATGTTGCTGAAGATAAGGCGAAACTGGAGGAGGAAGCGCTCGCCGATTTGCTCGAGAAGGTCCGAATAGGGAAGGAGCAACAGATATCCAAGCCCGCGTCGACGGAACCGGCTGCCGAGCCGAACGGCGACCAATCGAATGGGGAATCTGGGACAGATGCCGAAACCGCTATCCCAGAATCCGAATCGGCAGCACCCTCGATCGCCGAAACTGAAACTACAGCAGTCGACGACGCGCAAGAATCACCTACACCAGCTTCTGATGCCGATCGTGGTATACCCCAGGACGTTAAGCTATATGAGATTTTCTTTGAGCAAGTGAATAATCTCGTTAGCGCACAGCATCTGCCTATTCAGGACACAATTGCTCTGCTCGTCTCCCTCACAAACCTAGCTCTCAATATTTACCCAACTCGATTAGACTACGTTGACCAAATCTTTGAATATGCCAACCGTAAAGTTAAAGAACACGCTAATAGCCCTGACCTTCATTCCGCTCCTGCCCAGCACAGTCTACTCGCTCTACTTCAAGCCCCTCTGAAGAGATATGCATCTCTGTTCACTGCCCTATCTCTCCCCACATACGTCCCGCTTATCCAGTCTCAGACTTATCCTACAAGAAGAGCGGTCGCTGGCGAGGTGGCCAGGAGTCTGCTGCGAGACCAGATATCTATCTCAACGACAACGCAACTAGAAAATGTCTTAGAGGTTCTGAAAGTATTGATTAAGGAAGGCACGCAGCAGCCGTCCGGATATCCTGGTGGTCCTCAGCGCCGTGCCATGGAGACGGACGAAACGATGGAAGAGCAAGGTTGGCTCGCGAGGATTGTCCACTTACTGAATGGTGAAGACAACGATACCCAGTTTCGTCTCCTTCAGACTGCACGCAAGGCGTATGCCGAAGGTAATGAGCGCATCCGAACAACAACGCCTCCTCTCATCACGGCTGGTATGAAACTGGCACGCCGCTACAAGTCACGCGAGCACTACGATGACAATTGGGAGACTCAGCTAAGCGCCTTGTTCAAGTTCATGCATTCTGCTATCTCATCGCTCTACACTAGAGTCAATGGCTCTGGTGCTGCGGAACTTGCTCTTCGTCTTTTCACCGCGTGTGGACAAACGGCAGACATGGTCGGCTCCGAGGAGGTGGCGTACGAATATTTCGCCCAAGCGTTCACAGTTTACGAAGAGGCCATATCGGATTCAAAAGCACAGTTCCAGGCGGTCTGTGTCATCGCTAGTGCACTGCACCAGACAAGGAACTTTGGTAAGGAGAACTACGATACTTTGATTACTAAGTGCGCGCTGCATGGAAGCAAGCTTCTGCGGAAGCCAGATCAATGCAGAGCAGTGTACTTGGCAAGTCATCTGTGGTGGGCGACGCCGATCCCCACGAGCGAGGAGTCAGATGAAGACGTAAGGGATCCCCATGTTCATGATTGTTGATTGGATCAAGAGACATCGGTTACTGACCAATTCACTAGCTCTATCGTGACGGAAAGCGGGTCCTCGAATGCCTGCAGCGGGCGCTCAGGGTAGCAGATTCGTGCATGGAACAGGCGACCTCGATTGAGTTGTTTGTGGAGATCCTCGATCGCTACGTCTATTACTTTGACCAAGCCAATGAGGCCGTAAGAGATCTACCGTTCCTCGAGTATGAAGTTGACGAGGCTAACAAGGTGCAGGTTACGACCAAGTACATCAATGGACTGATCGAGTTGATACACTCCAACCTCGGTACGAATCAACAGGATTCAGCTAGCATCGAAAACAGCAAGAGGCATTTCAAGCATACCCTCGAGAATATTGCTGGCAGGCAATATGAAGGGATAGTGTTGAACCCCCAGAAATGATTCAGCGACTGTACGGGGCAACGGGGTAATTTGAAGTACTTGCGGTTAAGTCAGAGGAGATTGCCCAGGTCTGCTACGGAGACGGGGAGAGTGAGGTGCTGATCAAAATGTACGCTGGTGTGTTATGAATTAGGTAGGGGCAGTGACGCGGAGCAGAGAGAGGGAGAGAGAGAGAGAGAGAGAGAGAGAGAGAGAGAGAGCGACAGACAGCAGGCATTCATGTGTACATATGTATATCTCGCAAAGATTTGGGACATTGACTTATTGATGGTCTAGCCAGGAGTTGAATCGTGAAGGGGACGAAGGCCGCTGATAATGATAACTTAGATACTTATTTTATTATGTTTCCCAAGTCATTGATGAATGATGATATATGTGATGTCAAATCACGATAGCTTCTTGCTGCTTACCTAGGTAGGTAGTCCATAGTTGATAAAGGGACAACCCCTGAATGAGGCGGTGCAAAGAATGATTGCTTAATAAATAAGCTAAACCAAGGTTGGGTAGAGTGTGGTTAAGAGGCAGCCAATGCAGTGATCTTGGCATTGCTTCCATGCATGTTCGAGATCAAATGTGATCTCTACCTAGGTATATGTACTGTACACTACGACGCGCCTCTAGGTGCGTGTACTGTATATGTCCTGAGATTCTCACTTACATTTAGCGATGAGACTTCTGTTTAGTCGTATTTGAACAGGCTGACATTAGGTTGATGGAATTATTTAGTCTTCATTCTGTTTTGTAATATCTGGGTGTAGGTAGGTATCTTGCTTCATACCCCGCGATACGGTTGTAGGCGAGCGAGGGAAGATAGCTGGAGTACTTTGCTTACTATTCCGAGACAGAACGTGTGGTAGGTACAAGGGCGTGGAGGAACCTACTATCTTAAATTAGATATGTTAATGTCTGCTGGAATATACAAGTATACTTTGCTGCTTGTTACCTGATGAATTATTTCTGTTTTGTTATATGTCTTTTGAGTGTTCCTCGTCTTATGGAAGTAAGTAAGTAGATTTAAGAATAATGATGTGATATTTAACCTTTGCGTGTCTAAAGTATATACATAGGTATATATATGTATGTACACCTAGTGCTAGCGATAAGTAAGTTCTTATTAAGTATTAGCTATTACTGTTGAAATAACTCAACTTACACTTTACGGATGTCTCATTAGCAACATGGACAATGTGTCTATGTTGATATGAAAGAGCAAAAGGAGATGGTTCATGAGGTATTCGAGAAAATGATGGTTTTCTGGAACTTTCATTCCAAAATCTTCGAATACATCGACTCACCTAGGTGGGTAAGCACCTATGTACTTGAGTTAGGTACATGTAGTGCTTTAAATACTCCCCTAGCAGGTCGGTACAGAGCCCCCCCAGCCAGGTACTTACAGCTTACAGTACCTCCTAGGTAGGCACTTGGCGGTGGACTAATAGTGGTCCGGCTCACTTATGTGACATGTCTCACCTCACCTTCGCAATAACTCAAATGCTGTTCCAAGCAAAGGCGAGAATCGAGAGCCGTCGATCCGCCAACACCCTCCACCACCACCGTGACACGCCGGCAAGCCGCCTTGGTGCTATTGTCACATCGACGTCGATATCCTAAAGCTTCATACCCTCGAGTCTGGTCCCGACCTCGATGCCGAGTCCATCCGCGGCCAACGCTATCCCCGTCGCCTCGATGTGCTCGTTCTTGGGCCCCTTCTCCTTTCCATTGTAAATTCATCCACTCATTCATTGAATCCTATCGACCACTTTTGGCCCTCGCTCGTTCACTCTTGCATTTCCCGTTCGGCCTTGCCCTTTACCTACCTAATCCCACTTATATTTTCATCCAACCTTTTATTTGCATCACTTAACCCATCTCCTTGACGCCCATGTTCGAGCATTGAATTAATCTTCATCTCACTACACAATGCCATCTGAGAAGTCCCGCTACGAGCCGGCGCCGCCCATACCGTCGTACGAGGAGGCCACGGCCGGCGACGCATCATCTTCCAGGTCGCCCTGGCCCCCATCACCGTCGCCGTCCGCCGCAGACACAAGACCCGACCACGAAACGGAAGCTCAGTCGCTCCTCCGCCACAACAGACCGCTCAACCCATCGAGGAGGGCGCCCGCAGGCTACCAACCCCCACATGTCGAAACTGATGATGAAGGGTCAGACTGGAGCCTCGAAGACGACAGCGATGATAATGATGCCCATGAAGCCGCCCAGGTGCGGCGTGAGATGCAGGAGTTGGAAATAGAAGACCCCCTTAGCGACTCGAACGCGAGCACATCGTCTTGGACAAAACGGATAAGCTTTTCGCGGTTCTCATTACCGCGGTGGAAATGGAGGTGGCGCTTACCACGGATGACGGTTCGACTGCCTCGCCAATCTGATAATGCAAACAACGATGACAATGACGACGAAACCGCCGAATCGAACGAGACGAGAACGCGATGGCGCTTCCCGAAGCTGGCTTTGAGCAGTCGCGATGTCGTGCTCCTCATTGGCCGGCTGCTTGCCCTCACCGCCGTCTTAGGCACTGTTTATCTCCTCTTCGTAAGCGACTTGTTTGCCAACATGTCGAAACGGCTCAACAACCAGATGTATGACCCCGAGGCTGTCCGAGAGTTCCTCCAGTTGAAGATCGAACCGGAACAGATAAAAGAATCGTTAAGGCATTTCACGAGTTATGCGCATCTTGCCGGTACTGAGGGAGACTATGCGCTCGCCATGGACATACATAATGCTTTCGTGAAAAACGGCTTCGACCAAGTGGCCGTCGATGAATACTACGTTTACCTAAACTACCCACAGAAAAACGGTCGCCTTATTGAGATCATGTCTGCGGATGGGAAGAAGCCAATTTGGAGTGCCATACTGGAAGAGAATGATGTAGGGGGCGAAAGCGCAGGTCACCAGACGTACGCGTTCCATGGCCACTCCATGCCTGGAGATGTCAAGGGTCCACTGATATATGCAAATTACGGCTCTCGTAAAGACTTTCAGAGACTTGCGGACCAAGGCATCGATACCAAAGGCGCTATAGCGCTCGTCCGTCACCACGGCACGCAACAAAGCGTTGCGTTAAAGGTTAAAGCAGCGGAAATGGCAGGGTTTGTTGGATGTATCGTCTACAGCGACCCCGCCGATAATGGTTTTGTCAAAGGCGAACCCGCGCCAAAGGGGCGCTTCATGCCATCTGATGGTGTTGAGAGGGGCTCAGTAAGTTTGTCTAACTGGGTCATCGGTGATGTACTCACCCCGGGCTGGGAGAGCAAAGAGGAGAACCCTCGTATGAAACTTGACCAGACCAAGGGGCTTGTACGCATACCAAGCTTGCCAATTGCATGGCGAGATGCACAGGTTTTACTACAGCATATCGAAGGATTCGGTGAGCAACCCCCGAAGGGCTGGAGAGGCGGGGTCCCACAAGTGAAGTGGTGGACTGGCAACTCGTCTTCACCCATCGTACGTCTCAGAAACGAACAAGATGACAACGAGAAGCAGAAGATCTGGAACATCTATGGCAAGATTGATGGCATTGAACAGGAAGAAAAGTCTATCATCATCGGCAATCATCGCGATGCATGGGCATTCGGCGCTACGGAACCGAACTCTGGTACAGCCATCATGCTTGAGGTGGCGCGCGTTTTCGGCGAGCTTGCAGGCAAAGGCTGGCGTCCCCTCCGCTCCATTGAATTCATGAGCTGGGACGCCGAAGAGTATAATATGATAGGGAGCACGGAGTTTGTCGAGAAGAATCTCGAAGTTCTCCAAAAGCAGGCCTTCGCATATATCAATCTGGATGGTGCTATTTCTGGTCAGGATTTCCATGCCGCTGGCTCCCCTATGTTTCGCAAACTAATGAACAAGGTTCTGGGAAGAGTCTTCGACCCAGTCGCTAATGAGACCTTGTACACCTTATGGCAAGATAGGAAGGCCGACCTCGAACCCCTAGGATCTGAGAGTGACTATGTTGCCTTCCAGGACATCGCGGGAACTAGCTCATTGGATATTCGCTTTGACGGAAAGCCACACCCACGCCACACTTCGTACGACAACTTTCAGTGGATGGAATCTATAGGCGATCGAGATTTCGTGTACCACGGTTTACTCGGCCAGGTGCTTGCGCTTCTTATCATAGAGCTTGCCGATAGGCCAGTTTTGCCCCTGGATTTGGGTAATTATGCTTTCAGCCTGGACCGCTACTACCTCGGTCTATGGCAATGGGCTGAGAAGAAAGGCATCAGCGGAGGCGTCAACCCAAAGATCATGCTGGATCCCATTAAGGAGGCGCTCAACCATGTCAGAAAATCCATCACGCAGTTCGAGAGGTGGGAGCCATACTGGGAACAGGCCGTTATCGCGGCCAATGGATGGGAACCTGCCGGCCTGGGCCTCCGACGACTTGACTACAACAGTCGAATGGCTGCTTTTGAATCAGATCTTCTCGATCTCGAAGTCGGCGGTGGTGTATGTCTTTTACTTTCCTTTTTCCTCCTTTTCTTTCCCCCCCTTTCCCTTTCACTTACTATTATCTGGAACCGTGCCCCCTGCTAATTACTTTGGCCACCGCATTATAGATACCCAACCGAACTCAATTCAAGCACGTCATCTTCGGCCCTCAGCTCTGGAACGAGTACAAAGACCCGTACTTCCCCGCCATTAGGGACGTGATAGAGGCACAGGACTGGCCGCTTGCGCAGGCTATCATTGACAAGACTGCTAAGATTATCGACTATGCTGCTACGGCACTTGTCGCGGTATGATTGAGCAAATTCAATGCAATGCAATTTTACGGTCTTTTCTGCTTTTGCGTCTTGGTTCATATGTATACATGTTGTCGCCTGAACGCGATTTCTCTTTTTTTTATTTTCGGGTTGCTTATAATTAGATGAAACGATAGTTATAGTCGATACTGGGACTGACTTGACTGGACTGGTTTTGAACTGATTGATTGATTGCATGGCTCGGCGTTCCGGCGGCCCATCCTGCCTCCTTACACTTGGTATTTGTCCGCCACCACCCCGCCTTCTGCCGTCCCCTTGACTTTTGGCGATGGTGATAGCCGTGGTTGCAGGGATAATTGGGATGGATGTATGTATGTAGAATTGTCTATCTGGGATTTGGTTCCGAATGGCGGATTGAGGGGGATATATACATACCTACCTACCTACCTACCTGTCTGTCTGTCTGTCTGTCTGCCTGTCTGTAGAAAAAGATATTGAAATTTATTTTGAGAGTGTACGCGCAATTGAGTAAGCGGAGGTTGTGGTTGCTAGTGGTTAAATGATTGCTTTGTTCTTGTCTCTGGCTACCATTCATCTTGAGTTGATTAAGGATTAAGGGGGCGGGGGGCTGGCGGAGGAGACACGGTCGAGGATCTGGTTGAACTATTCAGGACGATATGATAGGTTTCTATCAGACTCAGGATAGAGCAGGACTTGAGCATTATTGGGATGCTCACGGAACTATTAGTTGAGGCGGCAGTTGGCTTTACCATGTTGGTATGGATCTGGGGTAGCGGCTTGGTGTGATGAGGACCTTGAGGGCGACAACCTTGATGGCCACCAGGCCGAGTGCGGATCGCTCAGAGCTGCTATATAAGAATCATCGAGGGTAGAAATGCGATAGCCTATACTCCGGAATTTGGTTCTTTTTACTTCAAGTTTGAGAAAACGGTTAAGTCACCAGCAAGTCTACTGAGCGCTATTATTATTCGGTCATACAGTTTGTTGAGACTATCTTCGATCATCGTTGAAGCTGTTGGTTCAGTAAACACACTCTCTCCTCAAGTGGTCGACACAACAACGGAAGAATTAAAGTTAGAATAGAATACGCTTAAGAGGCTAGTTCCATCCCAATACCATGGATTCACCTTTCATGCGCATGCCCTGCGAGCTGCGGCTCATGGTTTACGCATACCTCTTCGATGCAGGAGAACCAGACATAAGCACCGACACCAAGGACAACCCAAACTCAGGCACGGGCGTCAGCACAAGCATGGGCATGTGCGTCAGCAGCCACGGGAAGTATAACATGTCGACGGCAAAGACTATATCCATCCGCAACGGGAAAGACAACCCCTTCGAATGCGCCCAATGCGGCCATCACAACGGCAGGGACCACGCCTACAGCGCCAGGCCCAGATCGAACCAGACGCGCACGCGATACCAGATGATCGACCGCTCCTTCGCGCGCCGGTGCGTCGAAACGACGTATTACATGGTCAACGAGGGGGCGTACGTCTGCGCGGCCCTCATGCGCGTTAGCCGCGCCGTGCACGACGAGACGGTGCATCTGCTGTACGGCGCGCATACCTTCGACTTCGGATGCGATGTCGAGGCCGTCAGGCCTTTCCTGGAGGACCTCGCGCCTGCTACGCGCCGGCTCGTGACGCGCATCGCGCTGTATAAGAAGGGGCCGTGGCTGTATGATTGCTGGAGCGATCGTTGCGAGTGGCGCACTAGTATGTCTTTTTTTTTTGTTATACATAATGTCACCCTTTTTATATCTTCAGATTCTTTCTACTTAAGTCTTCCATCTGACTACATCTTGTCTGACTCACTGTCTGTCTAGTGTGCACTTATCTTCGCGACCACGCCTTCGTCAAACACCTCCAACTCGTCGTGCAAGCCGGCCGACTCTCGGAGTCCAGGGAGTGGGAATGGGAGGGCGACAGTCCCCGCGAGCTCACTAGCAAGGACGTGGCGCTCTTGGTCGACATTCGCCATGATACACTCCATTGGGTCGGAGATATCGTTCGCTTGAGAAGTCTTCGGGGCGTCGAGGTCATCCCGGACTACTGCACTGTGCCTCCCCCGCAGACCTCGAATATGTTTGTTTTCTTGGCCTTCTCGGCATCTGTGAACAAGGGTTTTGTCGAGTTTCTGAGTGATCGGTTGAAGCTTGCTTGTTGAGGGTAGGAGTGGTGTCAAAGGAGGTGCATTATCTGGATGGTGTTGGGAGACCATGCTGTCGCAATCTCACTGTTTTCTATCGTTCTTACGCCATTGGTCTCTCAAGTGTTGATATGAATGATCTTAATTACGTACTTATACCTTTCGTTTTTCATTTGAGATTTCAAGTTAAGTTACTTTTCTGTTGACGATGTGCCATATCGATTGAAGCGTTGCTCTCCGAAGCGGAAATTGTCATTCCAATCCCTTCAAGTGTTTATTAATTGCCCCTTTCCTTCGTGCACACAGTGAGCTTCATTCGACTCTTGGATTTCTCATTTCGTTGTGAGTCTAGGATGACGCTCTTAGTGTCAAGAGTAGTACATGTGATCCCCTTAGATTATCTAGAAGTCTAAGTTACAATACAGTTATCTGGCTGGATGAAGGTCTTATATACAGAGTCCCAGCATTCCAGTATGTGGAACGCAAGTATCACCGCCTTCCCTTTCTGACAATTAGAGGACATAGTAAGGTGACAGGTACGTGGTGAAATTAGTTCTACTCAGTGCCTATAGAGGAAGATTCTAGACTTCACTGTTGTAAGTTAAAACTAATGCACCAGGCGCTCATCTGCCTAGTAATACTGCTATATATGCTAACTTTGAATTGTTGATGGTTAGTTTTAGACTGCATAGAAGTAGGTTTAGCTGATATCGATAACAGGAAGCGACTACAGCCGTCCAAGCTATAATTGTGTTAGTTGTTTTTAGTATTCTTTTCTTGCTATCATACTTTCTACCTGTTTATCTAGATTCTCCGGCTACAACCCTAATTCTTCCTCTTAAAGTTCTGTCGGAACTTTAATCATCCCATCGGAATTCTACCAATCAAACAAAGCATCTCTTCAACTCAATGTCGTTTAGCTTTCCTGTTCCTTGATTGATTACGGCATGTTTCGTGGTCCTGGGCTGTCGACACTATATACATACATCTCCATACATGATTCATTGGGAGGGTTTGTGGTTATGTCAGCAGGAGCTGCCCAACTATTGAAATATTCGCTTTGGAAGGCCCCAGTTTGCCAATTACTCGAATATAGCATAGCGTTCAGTCACTCCTGAAATGTCAGCTTCCTTTTCCGCTCGCCCAGGGAAGCACTTTCAGCGTCTCAACGTCTAGGTGTAGCAGCAGGAGTGGTTGTGGGGGTATAGTCTGGACGGAGTGTCGATGGTGTCTCAGCACAGGCTGCAGGTGATCTTACCTCGTCTTCAATCACCATGTCGCACAAGAGTTGGTTGATCAATTTCAGTAAGGTATTCGTAAAGGATAGGTTCTTGCCAGGACTGTCGGGCCAACTGTCTGGAGCCAGCACAGGACGTTCTATGAACGGTCGAAGACGGGCTTTAATGTAGGTTTGAAGAAATTCCTCATCTTTGCCAACCTGCGGAAATACCTCGCCAAGCACCTCGACGATCATTGCTTCGCGCAGATAAATACCGACGTCTTCGATTTCACGTTTTGCGAGGCCCTGTAGGTCAGGTAACTCGTAGATCTGAGCGATTTTGTATACCCAGACAGACGTTTTGAACTCGTAGACTTTTTGCTCATAGGGCGTCAACTCAAAGGGTTTATAGCCCTCGTATTTCCCAGTATACAAGAAATTTATCAGGACATGACCAGCACTGCTGGGAACCCCTCTTAGATGCAGCTGCAACCCATATTGAAACTGATCGTATAACTTAGGACTTATATGAATTTTCCGTGAGTGAGCGAGGAGTACTGTTCGGTCATCGAAGGATACCGAGATAATTCTGGATGCGAACGGGCTTCAATCTATGTCAGTATGGATGAGTCAATGACCAATATGCATAGAGTTCCTTACGATATGTGTATAAACGACTTGGCTTCTTCTGCCTTGTCTCTTACGGCGGCTTGTGGGAAAGCAATAATATGGGACATGGTGATTGATTTCGCTGAATCGTTTGGCAGGTGAAAAGGGGTAGTTGCTCGACTTAGCTTCACACACAAACCACGCCTTATGTATCGTACGCTCTTCATACTTCGTGGGGACCCTGTAAGTTCCATGAGGCACTACCAAGGCACGAAAGCAAAGCTTATAATACGTAGTATGTTAACGCTATATATAATTCAGGCTGGCACCAATTTCAGCTTGTGAGCGCCAGAGCGTGCCTTGTTTGCGTGCCTCCCGCTTATCTGAATAATGGTGTCTATATAACTGTGCATGAATGCTGTGGGGATATCACAGTATCCTGTCAAATGTTGCATCGTATCATAGTGCCTTTTCTTCTTCAGTTACGATATTCTTTCAGAGTACAGGTCATGCCTGCTCATTGATTACACAACTATTATATCTACGCCCTTCTGTTGCGCGCGCGGAACTTCCATGCGCATTGTTTGTAGGCTTCGCCCGTATGAACTGTATGACAAGTTACACTGAACATTTGCAAGTCCTGCTACAACTATACCTGTGGTTAGCCAAAGCCCGTGCTTTCATGAAGCCTAAGGCGGAAAGATGTTTAAATTCAATATTTAGCCTGTTTAGTTACGTAAAGTGACTTCAAGCAAGCTACTGCTGGCGAGAAATCTAGGTCTAGCATCCCGTTGGGATCAAGTAAAGACAGCTACACGCGAAGTCAGCATCCCATTTTCGGGTTGACGCTTCACAAACACCTAATTGCGTTACACACCTTGTATTTGAGCAGGATGGATGCGATGACCTTTTTCATCGACATCATTGCGACATGTTGACCTAAACAGACCCGTCGCCCTCGGCTGAATCCCATGTGCGTAGCTTCCATTAGTCTAAGTTGCTCCTTATCGGGGGTAAGCCAACGTTCTGGGCGAAAAATATGTGCATCTTCGCCGTAAATCTTAGTGTTTCGGTGCATGGCGGAGGGCAAACAGCCGATACTTGTGCCCGCAGGAAAATGCATCCCGGCGATGGTAACGCCGCCTTGCGGAACCAGACGCTCTATTGGAAAAGTGCTGCTCGGGAAAACCCTCATGCTCTCCTTGATCACTGCATTCAGGTACGGCAGCTTGCTTACGTCTGAGAAAGCAGGTAGTACTTCAGGCAACCCGACTAGCTCCGCTTCAACTTTCTCCAGCTCTGGTGGATGCTGGAGCAACTGATATAAAGTAGCAACGATTGTCGTCGCCGTAGTGTCGCCAGCGCCTGATATCGTAGACATTAGCATTCCAATGATTCCATGGGTATCCAGAACTCGAGGATTGTCCCTGCTGGCGTTAAGAAACTTCTGAAGGAGATCGGGTTGTGCTTGTATTGATGTAAGCGATCTTGATTTTAGCTTCGACAATGCGGCGGCAGCCATGCTGGAGGGCGCTCTCTTCAGGCGCATAGCAATTGGATTCCGATATATAAGTCGCTCAAATACCGGAAGCGAAGACCACCTGCCCCAGTGATTAAATCGGTCGCGAATCAGTTGGATTGAGCCTCCCACATCGCCCTCGGCTGCCAGACAGCCAAGTGGTTCGCCGAACGAGAACCGCGCCGCGGCATCCATGGTATACCACAGAATCATCGAAGAAAGATCAAACGTCGCCTTCTTGTCAACGGCAGCAAGAAGTTCACCGATCGTGGCGTCTATCGAACTCTCGTAGTCCAAGACTGCGGTCGGCGTGAACGAATTTGCCACGGATCGACGAAGTGCGGCATGACGTGCCTCATCGCGTGTGCTGACGAGACTCGGCACCTCTTTTCCATTCTGGATGCCGATTAGGACATCGTACGAGTGTGCCTAGTGGATTGATGAGCATGAGTGGACTTTCGTCAATGATTGCAAGAGTCTTGCCGTGGTGAAGCCCGCGCGACTCCCGTAAACAACGCTGATGACCTCTGGATCACTGATGCTGATGCTCCGGACTCCATAGCGGACTATGGGCCCATGGAGGGCATGGAGATCGCATATCGCGTTTCGAAGCCGGCCATTGTACTGCTGGTACGCACGCCATAGATCCGTGGAGCCAGCCAAGACTGGGCCGGGTGCTTTGCGCAAGCGAAGCCAGTTGATCAACAGGCGAGCGCAGATTAGCGCTGAAAGGGCCAGTGGAAGAACTGCATAGGCTGATGCCATGGCTTATCAGTACCCTGGTGTTGCCGATAGGTTTCTGGGCGAATGTGCTAGGTTAATGGATATATGAAGCTATACCGTAAGCGCTAGGTTGGTAGCGCGAGAAAAAGGGGGATGGGATTTAACGACCTCTTCCTCGGGACACGACAGTTCCGGAGACGGAATCTTATATGTTGGCTTAGTGTGATGTTATATGCACGTATGGCATCGATGCATTGAGCTCACTCGTAAGACAGACCAGGGGGTACTGCTCATCTCGAGCTCCCTTTCCTTGATTGCTTACCTCAGACACTCCTTGGCATCGCTAAGAAATGAAGCTTTTGCGGCTAGCGTTGGTTTGATTGCATTATAAGATAACACGGCAAGGGAACTGAGTGCAAAAGATTGCTTCGTCTTCAATTGCTTGATCGCTGGATACCATGGGGAATCTGCTGTCAAAACCTAAGCCTCAGGCACCGCCTGCGGTGGCTACGGACACAATCGTTCCCATGCATCACATGGACGACAACAATATAAATCGGTCCATGGTCGTCATGTTCATGATGCGGTTTGACGATGTATTGGACCCCGAAAAGTTGAAGGGTTCTCTGGAAAAACTGCTCAGCCGCGACGATTGGCGCAAGCTCGGCACCAGAATAAGGCTCAACGTCAGTTTTACAAAGGTTCTTTTGGGTTGTCCATGAGAAACTGCGCTGACCTAATATAGGAAAAAGGTAAATTGGATTGTCACATCCCGGAGAAGTTCGACGAGAAGCGCCCGGCGGTCGGCTTCTCTCAGGTTAAATACGACGTGGAGATCGGGAAACACCCATTGGCATCCCGCTTACCAAGGGCGTCGTCGAGGCCGGCAGTCGTGGGTGACCCTGAAGAATTCAGATCACTGATGCGCAGGGAGGACGGCCCGAAATGCCTTAACGACTACATCTATCGTGATGAGCCTCAGCTGAGCATGCACATCGTGTCCTTCGAAGACGCTACGCTCGTCACTCTCAGTTGGCTGCATACTTTCCTCGACGCCATGGGTAGACGCGAGCTGATGCAGGCCTGGATCGCTGTCCTCGAAGGCCGGGACAGCGACGTTAAGCCGTTACTTGGCGTGTATGACGACCCGCTCAAGGACTTCGGTCTCAAGCCCCAGCAGCCGTTCATGTACGCCCACCAGAGGGTGACGGGGTGGAAAAAGGCCATCTTCGTCATGCGCTATATCTTTGAGTTGGTATGGTACCCGAAAGAAGAGTCGCGCATCGTGTGCCTACCCGCGGCGCACATGCAGAAGATCCGTGCCGACGCTATGGCGGACCTAGAATTGCAGGACAAGGGTGATGGCAAGAAGCCCTTCGTCAGCGACGGTGACCTAGTATCGGGTTGGATCACTCGTTTGTTCATCCAACAGTTGGAGCGGCCGAGCTCGACGCGGAAGATCCAGATCATGAACGCCTTCGGACTGCGGGCGACACTTGCCAACGATCTGCTGCCCAGCAATTCGGCGTACGTCGCAAATGCCGTTACCGGCGTCTATGCGCTGGTGAGCGCCAAGGATCTCCTCACCAAGCCGCTTAGCTTCGTAGCCTCGGAGATTCGGCGCTCAATTGCAGAGCAGGGCGAGCGTAGCCAGCTGGAAGCGAGACGGGCGATTGACAGGGTTTCGATTGAGAAGACGGGGCAAGCGAGCCTCTTCGGAGATGCGTGGATGAGGATGATTATCATCTCTAACTGGACTAAGGGCCGATTCTTCGAAAACGACTTCTCAGCCGCTGTGGTGAAGCCGGGCATCCCGGAGAACTCCCCGGAACGCTCCTCACAAGTCGGGCGTCCATCATACATTCAGACTGGCGGATACTCTGACAACACCTTCTCTTTGCGAAATGCATTCCCTATAATTGGAAAGGATCACGCTGGAAACTACTGGCTAATGGGTTCCCTGAGAAAGGGAATATGGCCCAAGATTGAAGAGGTGCTGAATCGATCTGGGTGAACGCTCCTGGTCGTTGATGCGGCAGTTGGATAGCTTCTCTGTGCTAGGCGAAACGCCCAAACCTTAGGACCTACCTATGCATCGAAGGACTCTAATGCGGTAGTGGCTATTGACTCCGCCTCAGATTTTGAAATACCATACCTTCTTGAGCGTTCGTTGTCACCGGCAGTAAATAGTTTTGTAATATCATAGCCTTAGCATATTTATACATAAAGTAAACCTTAAGAGGTGTTCATCCTATACTCTTCAAGGGCCATCGTTGGCTCCCAGCGCACTGCTCTACCTACTAAATCTTTGGCATCATTGTATACGGTGGTGTTAATAGCTACAGCGAAAATGATATAATGAGGTCTCCTTTCCCACGTCTTTCTATGAAATGTCCCTGATGTTCATATACATGGCTCAAGCACATTCACCAAAGGCATCGAAATGGTCTGGTGACTTCTGTTCTTAATGATATCGGTGCTTTAGTTTCTTAGATCTGTTGACTGTGTGGATAGAGTCGCCTCTCGTCCATCTTCGCATGACTGTGCAATTGCATGTCCTTGTCCTTGAAGTTTTCACTCGTGACATTCTCGTCATCACTATCTAGTTCTACCATAAAGAAAGGTATACAGGATTTCTCGAATATATTTGTCTGTTTCAGAGCCTCCTAAGTTGATTGCTTCTTGAGTCAGGAGTTGCTGGTGATCGGGATTTTCGTCACGTATTGCACTCTCTGTCTCGTCGAGAACCTCTTGGAGTGATGGCTTGGCACGCGCGGAAGATGCCCTGTTCATGAAATCAGTATTAATTAATTGCCATCCTGATATAAGATTCGAAGAATTAATCCCATTCGGGGTACGTGGCTTTTGTAGTGATGTCTCTCAATCAGAACGAAACGGAAATTGTCCCGAGAATACTCACAAACATTTGACTAGCATATGCCGTAACTTCGGATCAATGACTTGGTTTTCTCTCAAGACTTCTGGTGCTCGAGTCTGTATTGTACAAAGGACATCTGAGTCATTTGTGTATTGGTATATAACCGACCGGTTGGTAATCTTCAATGCATCCTCCCCGCTACCTAGGCAGCACAGCCTCGCCAGGGTCTATTGATTATTTTAGTTGCCTACTATCAAAGAACTATCAGCATAAAAAGACGTACCAGTGCCGAGCCAGACAGATTTTCTCTACTGGCCAGCTCGTCTGGGCAGTCAGGCAGGCGTCTACATCATAGAATTAGCGCGTTGGCGAACCACTGCAATTCGTCAGTAAGTACCCCTGAGACTAAGTTGCGACACCTGCGGGACAACGTCTGGTGCTTGGTGCCGCCGGCTGTGTCTCATTTGCACCTGATTCTTTATTTTGCTGTCCTGACATATACTCTTCGTAAGTCGCTTCACCATTAGATGTGCCAGGGAGGTTGATCGAGCAATCCGCCATTGGCATCAATTGTAGAATATGCTCCGCCCCTCGGAGCCTTTGCAGCCAATAATATTCATTTCTTAGGTCATTATCTGCGTTTGACTGCTGGTCAGGCGATAGTGAACCGTAAGAATATTTGACCACTACCAGTCGTGCCTCGTGTTCGGCTGAGGCCTCTTCCCTCAAAATTATTGTACCTCCATGGCGACCCAGGCCGGCAAATCCTTGGAGTTGGATCCTTGGTTTATAAGTAAAGTTAGCGGCCACCTCTTGACCGAGCCTCTTTAGCCTGTCCTGAAGCTGTTCTTCGCCTGCCATAGTGGCTAGTCACCTACGATACTGTATGCTCGCTGTTTAGGTGGCCGAGCCTTACCTAATATAAAATAAAGAACCTGAAACAGCTCCGATGGCCCGCTGTACGGACCAGTACATGGAGGTATTGTCACAACAGTGCACAGCAAAGTAAGACATTTGGACTTTTTGTGATTGATTGGTTCTTTACATTGAATGCTGCTTTTGGTCATGTCTTAGCTCAGCGAATGAACAATAGCCTTGTTTAAGATACCCCAAAATGTATAGGTACTCACATATTCATAATCTCAAACTAGCTATGCTATAACCCCTTAGCTGTGTACCTTGAATGTTGACTCAAAAATCAAGGCGGATGCTACTACTATTTATAGCAGCAAACTTGGGACCCACTTTGCTTCTTCTTGTAAGACTCATACCGTCTGGTTTAGATTCACGGAGATCCATGTAGAGTTCAGTTAGATAGAGTCTCACATCTCAGAATTACTTTCTCTCATATGAGCAAAAAGCTGGAATCAAAGTGAAATATCAGGACTTGGGTAAATTACATGCACGAAAGCAGCTGTGGCGTATGTGGCTGTTGTGGCATAAGCGGAGGAGCGCTAAGTCTTCAAGAGGTTGCGACGAATCTGAGCTTTATTCCGAATCACCATCAAACGTCCCTAAACCACTTGCTAATCTACACAAGTCAACCTGTTTACCTATTTTGCAAGTATTTTCAGCTACACGACTTTAATTAATTCTTGTCCTCCAGACTGATAATGGCTGCCCACCTGAATGAGGTGAATTGCGATTGCATTATCCCTTGCACCACCAACAGCGTCAGCATTCCACTATGACTCAATACCTGCTGCTCCCTTTATCAGATCATCAATTCTGGTGCTCTTGTTCAGCAGTTGGAGCATTGTGAGCTCCAGCCCGAACGTCTTGATAAGCCAATTCCTCAACTCGCCTGCCACCAGGCTATCGACGCCGTATCGTGACACTGGCTTGTCAGCATCAACATCATCTGCCTCGATGCCAAGAAGGTCTGCTAGGCGTGTGGTCACGGCTGCTCGGGCGATGTCTAATTTCTCGGCGGATGATGATGCATTCTGAAGCTGCAAAGCCACTGAAGAACCAGCAGCAGATGAGCCCGCACTAGCAGACTTGAGAGCTTGCGCACGATCCGAAATTCCTTGTCGGACTGCCTGGAACCGCGTACGATTGTACCAAACAAGGTCTTCAACTCGCCCATTGTCGAGGTATGATACGAAACGGCCTGGCTCCAGGCCCGTTACCACTTGGGCTTTGCTGCTGGGGTCTAGCTTGGCGAGCGAGAAGTCGTCTGCTGGGGAGGAGTGCGAATCGCACAGTGCGCCCTCAAACAGTTGGAGAAATTCGGTCTCCGACACGCCGTAGGTTGCATTGCGCTGAAGCATCTGCTGGAACCCGGTAGAGGTACTGACAGACCCAACCTCGAGAATCAAACCAAGACCTATGGACGTGGCTGGCAGAGACTGCGCCTGGCGGAATTTGGCGAACGCATCTTGAAAGGCATTGGCTGCTGTGTATGCGCCCTGACTTGGTGTGCCCACTGTTCCCACGATGGAGGATGTCATAATGAAAAAGTCGAGCGGCAGCCTCTCTGTGACATGGTGAAGATTCACAGTGCCCGCGACTTTGGGTGCCAGCACACGCTGAATCTGATTCCAGGTCGCATTACTGAAAAGTGCATCCTGTGTTCAACATTGTCAGCGAACGCAAGTCTTTGCCTGTCTGACTCTGATTAATCCACTTACACCTTCTACCATAGCCGCATGAATCACGCCTTTGATGTTCCGCGATTTGGAGATATTTCCTATTGCGGTGATCAATGCCTTCCGGTCAGTCACGTCACAACTTATCACCTCAGGCTCGGCACCCGCGGCGAGGAGCTCTTGAACCGTTCTGACTGCTTCAGGCTTGCTTATGCCTGACCGAGATATAAACACAAGGTGCCGAGCGCCGCGCTCGACCATCCACGCAGCCAGACTGCGCCCGAGGCCACCAAGCGCTCCAACTAACAAATAGGCCGCGTCTGGATCAAATGTAGCTCGAGGTGCCGAACGAGCGATCTGCCGTTGATTAGTCGTTATGTCCCTGTATTCGAAATGTCAAGTTGCACTGGATTGCTTACCTTCAAGCGTGTCTCTGGGTCACGGAAGGTAATGACAAACTTGCCACTGTGTAACCCCTTCGAGAAGGTATTCAGGGCGCCCTCTAGTTGAGAGATATCATAGGTGGTCAAATGTTCAATTGGACCAATCACTCTATACTCCAGAAGCTGTGTCATTTCCTCCATCAATCTGCGTCTTGTCAGTGCCCCGGCTCTACTTATCGTGATTAGTTGGCAGGGGTTGAATTTACCTGGCAATCAACTCAGGTCTCTGGCGGTAAACGAGGCCTAGGTCAAACGATGAGAAAGTCGCGTTGCGCTTGAAAACTTCAAGCCCGAGTCTACCGCCACCGAGAACATCTGTTCGGCCAACATCGATGAAGCGTCCAAGTGGCGCAATGCATCTCCACATCTCGTGCATCGAATCTCCGCCTGTGCTGCTCAGGATTACATCAAAGCCTCTCTGGCCCGTGGCCTGAAGCATCTCATCTACTGCACTCAGGTCTCGAGAATTGAAAATGCGGCCATCTGGTATTCCAAATTCCTCGATAAGCACCTTGCGCTTCCGAGGAGTACCTACAGTAGCATAGATCTCGGCCCCTAGGAGCAATGCTACTCGAATAGCTGCCATTCCAAGACCGCCGGTAGCAGATTGGATGAGAACCGACTCACCAGCGCTCAGGCGAGCTAGATGATGGAATGCGTATATCGCTGTTAGGTACACGACCGGCATGGACGCCGCGCTTTCGAATGAGAGGCCCTCCGGGATTCGCGCGATTAGGGCAGCTGGAGATCGAAGGTAATTACCCATATTGCCTGGGATCATGCCGAAAACCCGATCGCCTATCTTGAAAGAATCGACACCCGAACCGACCCGTGTTACGATGCCCGCTCCTTCGGTACTCAGCTTGTCAAGATCAAATTTCGCGGTCGCTACAGCGAGGTCCTTCATGTTGAGTCCGATAGCCTCGGTCTTTATCTCGATCGCGTTATTGTCCAATGGATCCTTAAAGCTTGGGTCGGTGCTGAAGTATAGCGATGAGAGCAATCCAGGCTGTCGATACCTTGCCATAAGGGGCCCATACTGGCTCATGGGGAGCTCCTCGATTTCACTCTGATGCCCGTTGCGCAAGTTAAATTGTTCGTTCAATGTCGCCTCAGGGAATAACCGTTCAATATAGAAGATACCTCCTCGGAGCACAGATTCAAGGTCCACCGCCTCGGATACAGGCGATGCTTGCAATTCGCCTAGCTTGTGAAGAATGAGTTCGGCAGCTCTTGAGTGTGGAGTATACTCCCTGTGATCCAACTCGATGAACGCGTACTTGGATAAGACGTTCTCCGTAGCGATAGATCGCAACACGCCCTTCATGATGGCTGATTCGCCATGGATACTCAAGTCAGATGCCACCCACACCATCTCTGACACCTGCGAAACAACGGCCTGTAATGCTTCGAAATACGCCTCGTCACGGCAAGTAAGGATGGAACCGTCGGCGTCAATCAAGCTGATGATAGAGGAACCCTTAGGAATCATAGCTCCAGAGAACATCTCAACGGAGATAATATTAACGCCAACATCTTTCAAGATCCCAGTTACTGCTTCGGCTAACAGAGGCAATGAATCCCTATAGACAAGATATACATCCTTGGATGATTGCTTCGAAGCAACTTCTGCTTTAGTATCAATGGCTTTCGACAGCATCGCTGTGGTCATGTGTTGATTTCTTGTGTACTGTGTTGAGTTAGCATAATGTGGGTGCGAAGTGTTGAGTGTAACTCACGTCTTGAAGAGAAAGATCGACACCTGAAAACCCACACTGTTGTAGGGTTCTCTCCCACCTACATTCCGGCGGACTTATGGACTCTTGCTCCCATTTACCAGTTAGTGTACGGGAGAGAATTTCCGATGTCAAGGTCGGGCTCATGGTTTCAAGCAAAACAGCCGATCCGGAGGGTCTGAGTAGAGCTTTCATGTGTTTCAAGGCTGTCGCGGGGCTTTGAAGTTCGCTCAAGCTTGTAGCAATCACCAAGTCGAAAGACTGACCTTCGAAGCCCTGAGAAATAGGATCTTGGAGGATATCAAGTGTTTGGAATGTCAGCGCGCCTTGGCCTGAGAATCGCGCCTGTGCTTCTGGAATCGACCAGCTCGCGTGGTCGGTGAAGACGTAGTCTTGGAGTCTCTTTGGTGCTGACTTTGACGCCAACGTGTCCAACACCGCCGAAGTCAAGCCCCCTGTGCCCGCACCAACTTCCAAAATCCTCATGCGAGGGTTTTTATGCGCCAACAGATCTACTATGTGTTGGACCTGGGAGTACCCTCCTTGGAGAGTAATCCCCGACGAGAACAAATCAGTCATTAGGTTGTCTTCCATCAATAGCTTTACACTGTTGGTGTCTCCCTTCAAGACGCTGCCTAGATTATCATGCAGCGCTGAAAGACACCTGGCCTCAGGAATATGTTTCATCGTCATGGATAGTCTCTGGATCTCCGCTAATCTTTCTGTCTTGCTGAGATGCTGGGTGGGATGAGTGTTGCTGGAATCATTCCACGATCTTACCCATTCCGCGAACGCATCGTGATTCTGTGTTTTGCCATCACCAATCACTTCACTTCGGAGTGTTTCTCCGATACTTGCAAGAACATGTGCTGACAGAGTCTCCAGCGCGACAATAACAGATTGGTCGATCTCCTTAGCTGGAAACATATCCCTCGTGATGGAAGGTGTTAACGTGTCAACGTCGGGTCTCGATACCGGACGCCAGTATGGTTCACGTACAGCACTTGATGCGCTTTCGTCTTCTATGCCCTCATACGTGACGCACTTTAACTCCCCTATGTCAAGAAGCGGGGATCCTGAAAAGCTGTAGAGCTGAGCCTGAGAGTACATGCTTCGAAGGCCAAGTATCTGCCCACTCGCTATACCTAGACCCTGAGGTTGGTTACCTTCTGGTACCCATACCGTGACATCGTCGGCAAATATGGGCACAAATGCTTTCTCAAAGCTCTCGACCTGACCTGCGTGGCACGATATCAAGGCAAGCTGTATCATCGTGTCTAAAGTCCCAGGGTGAATAGGGTAGCATGACTCATTCTTGAGGTTGGCCGTAGGGCTGAGGGCGACTTTGGCGCTCGCAGTGTTTGTTCCACGATAAGCCTTGAGTTCCGATAACCCCTCGAATGCTGGACCATAGCCCAGTCCAGCCTCCCAGAACCTTTTATACCAGCGCGACATGTCGAGTGATCTAGAGCGGGGGTCCGGCCGCAGTTGACGGTCCCTGTCGATCGTGGTCTCTGCGGTGGTCACTGATATGATACCAGTGCAGTGTTGAGTCCACGTGTCGGAGTTGGGCAGTATTGAACCGATGGTGAACTTGTACCATTGTGACATGACAGCTGCGTTGTTCAGAGGCAATCGTTCCATGTCCAGCACTATCTCAACACCGAGTTCGGTATCCTCCACGCGCAGCGCCGAGTTAATTGCGACCTGGCGGAGTTTGTAAGACGTGATACGTTCGGCTTCCTCGGCCTCGTGGTGCAGCTGGCTGATGGCCTCAATAGCCATCGTGAGATACGCTGCTCCCGGCAATACGGCATGTGGAAGCAACTTGTGGTCTTCCAGCCACGGGACATCCTTCAAGCGAAGGACATTTCTCCATTGTGGATGTGTTCTAGATCCGCCAGGAATCCGAGCGCCGAGCAAGTCGTGTGAAAGGTGCTTTCTCAGGCGATATTCTCTGTTAAACCGATTCTCATAATGCACAGGCTGGTCCGGGTACGAGTACTTGTACTGAGGGAGATCGATGCAGGTAAAGCCGTGACTGAGTGACACCATTCCATTCTCCAACTTTTCGTTGGCATTGACTGCCACAAGGTCGATCGGTGCATTGTTGACGAAGAGATTGCCAGCAAGGGTCAGCATGCTTTGGACGTCATGCTCACCCCGACGAAGTGATCCTAAACAGGGAGGAACTTTGACACCGTGACCTTCCAGTGTACTGCGTAGCTGCTTTACCGGGCCGCTTAGTGCAGGATGAGGTCCAATCTCAATCAGAAGATCCACCGGCTCGCTTGTTACCATTTTCTCGACCGCAGGAGAGAAGAGTACGGGGGACTCGAGGTTACGTCTCCAGTAGGCAGGGGATACGTCTATTTCTTCCTTCAGCGTCACTGACGAGAACCACCTCACTTGGGAGTTTCGAGGTTCATTTGCGATGAGCACTCCGACATCATCAAGACCCTCTGTTGCTTGGTCCTCGTATGGCGGCCCTAGGGCCGCCATATGATGAGAATGATATGCGTTGTCACCTGTCTTGAGCACGCGGGCAAAAATACCGCCTTCGGTCATTGTTTTACTCAGCTTCGTGATGGCCCCTGGTTCGCCAGATAGCGTGACACTATTGGGCGAGTTCACAGCAGCGATCTTGACGTCGCTCCCTATTCCTTCTAGGTAGGGTCGGGTCTCAGCTTCTCCAATACCAACAGCCATCATAAGCCCCTTGCGTTGATTGGTGATGACTACCTGACCGCGGAAGTAAGCTAGAACGATAGCCTCACTCGCTTTCAGACGTCCTGCCGTGTAAGCCGCAGCTATTTCACCCGAGGAATGCCCGACTGTCGCTACAGGTTCGATTCCCCATTGTCTTAACAGAGTCACCAAGCCTATTTGTAGAGCTGTACAAATAGTTTGCGAGAAGGCTGGGTTGTGGATCTGGCTTGTGGCTGCAGGCTCCAAGAGCGCTTCTTCAATCGACCAGCTAGGCCTAAGGTGCTTTAACTTGCCGAGCACACTGTCCAGGTATCTGATTGTTCGTCGAAATACCGCGTACTCATGAATTAATTCAGCGCCCACTATCGTGATTTTGTCAGCGATGCAACACTATTAAACAAAAGGCAAATCCCAAATGCGATCCTGAGATCCTGGACTTCTCGCCGGCGGGGAACAGGGGATCGTTTACATACTTTGTGGCCACTGGGCTCCTTGCCCAGTAAACACGAATCCGATTCGCCTCGATGGAGTACTTGGTGCCTTTCCGGAGACAACCGAGTCCGAGTCCAACTCTTCTCTCAGTGCGCTTGAGTCTGCGATCGCGAATGCGCGGCGGGCAAATGTTGACTTTCGACAGCCGAGGGTGTAGACTAGATCTGCTAGATCGTATTTGCCTAAACACTTCGCAACTGTTGCCATATTCTCCTTCAAGGCACGCTCATCATGCGCAGAGAATGGTAGCAAGATGTGCTGCCGAACCCCCGCGTCTTGAATCTGAGAGACTTTAATTCGCTGAGGCGACCAGCACAACTTATCTTCATTTTGACCGTTTCCATTGGTGTGACCATTCCCGTTGGTATTACCGTTGCCACTGGTATAGCCGTTCCCGTTGCTATGACCATTGCCGTTGGTATAGTGCCCATTCCCGTTGGCAATTCCAATCTGGTTGTACGACAAAGGGAGGCCGTGAAGTTTATATCCAGGAAGAACCACACTCGGGTGATCTAGGATTGCATGGGCATTTGCGCCGCCGTATCCGAAGCTATAACATTGTCAGCTATATATCCCACGCTTACCACGCGATTTTCATGGGAAAGGCTATTTAGCAATGAATGCGAAGTGGATCAAAGAAGTCTGCTTACCTGTTAATGCTAACTCGACGCAGACGATTACTGGGCCAAGGAGTCATCCCCGTCACCACTTTGACCCTCGCCGTCTCGAAATCAATCGCAGGGTTGAACTCCTTGATCCTAACAGTTGCCGGGATCTCCCCATGCTCCATCGCCAGGATAGCTTTCATGACCTGCGACATCGCACTCGCGGCTTCGCTGTGTCCTAGGTTTGGTTTGATCTAAACAGCGATTCAGCCAGATCAGCCGTAGAACTAAATACGAGAGTGCCCGGGGCTAATGTTAGGAATAACTTACTGATCCGATCAAGAGTGGATCGTCTTTTCGTCCCGGAGAGAAAACGCGTCCGATGGCTGAGACTTCGATAGGGTCTCCTACCGGTGTGCCCGTTCCATGTGCTTCAGTGTAACCGGTCAGATCCGGGTTGAGACCGCCAGCAGCCTTGTAAGCTTGTCTAATAACGGCTTCCTGGCCGTCAGGACTTGGGTGGGAGATACCGCCTGTCTTTCCATTGGCGTTGAATGATGTGCCACGCACTACTGCGCGAATGGGGTCGCCACTATCTACGGCATCAGAGAGTCTCTTGAGATAAATGGCTCCAAAACCCTCTGCTCGTGAGTAACCGTCTGCTGCGATGTCAAAAGTGTGACAGCGAGATGTTGGTGACACCGCTCCGAGTTTCGTTGTGAATAACTGATTATCTGGGCCAAGTATGACATTGGCACCAGCGACTATGGCTGCGTCGCAATCCCCATTGCGAATAGATGTCACAGCCAAGTGTAGAGCATACATGGATGCTGAGCAAGCTGTGTCGACCATTAGACTATGTGCAGGACAGTATTAGCAGACCATATCTTCACTCAGTTGTTCGACAGAAACTGACCTTGGCCCCGTGAGATTAAATACATAGTTAAGACGATTGCTCAATATCGTGGGGCCGCCGCCGGTAACCACGTAAGGTAATGTATGATCTGGATCTCGATACTGCATCATCTGATGTTCGTTGTTGAAATTTCCAACAAACACGCCCGTTCTCGAGCCAAAGAACTTCTCGAACGGCACCCCGGCGCTTTCTACGGCTTCATAAGTGACTTCAACTAGCTTGCGCTGGCTTGGATCTAGGGCCATAGCTTCTGTCGCCGTGATGCCGAAGAAACTATGATCGAAATCTCTTGTATCCTCCTGCAGTAAATGACCGCCCCTGGTATACATACTTCCTGGGCGTTGACCATCGGGATGGTAGAAGCCATCCACATTGATGCGGTCTTTAGGGAATTCGGACCACCCGTCTCGTTCTTCTTTGAGCAAGTCCCATAATTGAGAAGGATTTCGGACGCCACCTGGCCACCGACATCCTTCACCAGATCATCAGCATATTCCATCAAAGGGGTAAATTGAGAGGGAAGAGAGTTGTAATTACCCATTCCTACGATAGCAATTGGTTCCGGACATGAAGAAAGAGGGGGTTCTGCTGTTGATGATGAATATGCCATGTTTCAAGATAGAAAATAGGTCATATGTTGAAAGGCTTCTTAAATAGTTGAGATGATATTTCAAAATGAAATCGTTCTCTGTCGGCGGGTTGAACCTTTGTGAAAAGAAGGATAGAAGAAATTTTGTTAACTGTTCTATCTCGTGGTCAGCAACATTTCGGCAGAGGGTCTTGATATATATGAAAAGAGTTTAACAATATGACTGCCTAGGTATCTTCTATGGTTGTCTTGATGCCTGCGGCCACAAAGATTGGCAAGTAGTAAGTCGCAGATCTAGATCGTCCGTTCTGACAGTGTTCCCTCATACCCCTCAAGTGCGCGTCATTGGTACACGAGGCTTACATACTTACCGAGGCACGCTGTTGATCAAGCACTTCATGCTACTTCTTGTCATCGTGCTGTACACTTGTGAATCAGATTTGAGCCAGACCCGCAAGTATTATTCTAACCGAGTCAACGAATGATCAACAAGTGGTTGATATGTCATACGAATCTGGGAATGTGTCTCTAGTGTCAGCATTGCAGAACCTCGGAACGCCTGTGTATCAGTACATGTCTCTAATCTGAGTCCTCAAAAACTGATCATCCATATCGCACACCGAGATGTTTCTGCGTTCTAGTAGCAGGTCTATAGGGTTTACTCTATCCACGCCCCCCTTGGTGTTTCAAGGATGGACATTACATGTTGTTTCCTATCAAAGGATTCATGCAGGCAACTGTTGCTTATGCTTGATGCTTCGTCTTATGATGTAACAATGAACATACAGGGCAAGAATACGCGTTATCTGCAAAGGTTTCAGGCATTGCTTGACCTATGTGCCGAAGGGATCCGAGTACCGGAGACATGTGGATAGGGTTCAAACATATGATATCCGATTGGACATTGCTGAATTGCTGATTAAAGCTTCACTTCCGTTAAGCCAAATGATCTTCTTCTTGAATACAAATAACTAGTCATTTTATGCAGTCCGTAGCACTGATAAGCGGATATAGACCAATAAACAACGGGAATAGTTCATGTGGCAACATCACAAAAGCCAGCCTCTGCAGCCATCTTAACTAGAATAAGCGAAATTATAGTTCATCAGTCTTAATATTCTGTGAGTAACTTGAATCTCGCCAAACCATATTGACCGTAGATTGTCAGGCAAATTCTGATGCTACGCAACGAATTTGCCACTACAACGCTCTGCTTCACTTCGTGATAATAGTGAATACGAGAATCTAACAGATTCCAACTGGCGGAGCCATGACTGTAAACGGAACTAGGTGATTTTTGTTCGTGAGAGACTATCCTCAAGAGTAGCCAACAGTCAAGAATCATGGTTCTAGGCGTAGTTGAGTGCCACTTAAGTTCATTCTATCTTAATAGTTTGATGATTCGGTCATCCGTTCCACTCGAAAATTCAGTAAGAGCTAGGAACGAAACGTGTTCATAATCTGAACAGGCTTTGAGAATTATTCGTGAGCTGCTTCAAGATTTGTAAAAAGCTCCTCTAGACCTTGTGATAATAGATTAATTCATCTCTACCCTATTTGACTTTCAAATCATGCGTCTTATATCAGATCTCTGCTCCTTATATCCAGGAAATTCTAGCTTCGGCCTCAATGCTTCAGTTGTACCTCGATCAAACCCATGACTCCTTTCCCATGGACCTTCACAACCTATGACAACGCCCACGTTAGTGCTGTATTCTCAAATTGATCGTAAAATGTTTCTAGACTTGCCTCAAATCGCGGATCCGCTTGTTTTAGAATAGTTTCAAACTCAAGTAAAGTTCGTTGCTTGGCTGCATATCCATTCAGCATGTGAATGTCAATCTGTCGTAAGTGATGCTCTTCGACTTTGGCCTCGACGTTAGGCGGAGGGAGGAGCATATCATTAATTAACAGATTCGGCCTTTGAGAGCCTCTCTCCATTGCGGGAACGAATGACTTGAAAATCTTCACACAGACATCGTCTGGATAATTGTGAATTACCTGACGGAGGAAGAATAGCCCAGCATCAGTGACAGGCTGGGGGTCGTAAAAGCTGTATTCCATGAAGGAAACTCGATCTTGAACCTGGGGGTAGTCTACGCGCTTCGGACCCTGTTCAAGCATCACAGTGTTGACGTCTTGAACAAGAAAGCTCAGATTCGGGAATTCCTGCATATTGTGTTAGGTCGGTTGAAATAGCACTCTTCACCTAGACTTACAGCTGCTAGATAGATAGAGACATGTCCGCTTCCGCCTCCAACATCGACAACCTTCGTTTTCCCAAGTTGAGCCCAAGGGAACCGGCTGCGCAACTCAGTGGTGTCTCGGTTCACTATTTCTATTAGTTCTCGTAATAGACGCTCATGGGAAGAAGACGGCATACTTTGAACATATCCTGCCATTGCTGAAGCGAATCGTGCCCCGCGCTCGGGGTTCTCGGCGTACCATGTATATGGTGAAGTGCCAAACCTTAGGTTGAACGCACTATCCTTTGCTTCGGATGTGTACGGCGCTTTTTGGATTGAGCTTGCTGTGAGTGAAGATGCTTCAAACATCTCGTCCGCCCTGGTATGGTAAGTATTTAGAGTACATATTCCGCTGATTCAGCTAACTTACTCGAAAGCAAAACATTGCTCAATATCCTTGTTCTTAGCAATGTAGGCTGATAAAGAAGTGTGCTCAAACCTGTCGTCTTCAAGTTCTTGGAAGCACCGCTGTGTGGTCAAGAACTTCATGACGCGCCGAAGTCGGTCTTCGTCCATACCTGCGACAGAGGCCATCTCTTTAACAGAAATAGACTTGCCTAGAGGTACGGTGGTGAAGAATTTGAATCGTAGTGCAACTTGCCAAGCGGCCAGATCATGGTGGCAGCAGCAAAACGTGCGAATCCATGACAAGGGCCCCTTAGCGAGAAGCGTGAGATCCTGAGTAGCTTGAGTCAAGTTGGTGCAGATAGCATCGTACTCGTCGTTCTCTGGATGAGGAGGAGAGGAAGCAGTAAAATTTGGTTCGTCCAAACCATTCTCCTCGAGATAGCGGACAAGTTTTTCAGCTTGTCTAAGAGCCTGACGAGCAGTGTCGAGGACCAAAGACTACAGTTGAAGAGGGCATTCGTCAGCACTAACATGAGTGAAATGAAAAGACAGTGATCTTACTGAACGCTTCGTGACAGCCATGATAGCTCAGAAGAGAATACTCGATGTGATGTGGTATGATGAGCGATAGTGTTCAGTATGACTTTGAGCCAATTCGGTTCGAAACTACACGGCCAACTACATAACTTAGGAGGGACTGGCCTTATAAAGTAGAGCCTATGTTGAACTAAGAGTTGCCTCAAGTCGCCCTTCGCAACTTCTCCTAATACATCGCCCAACGCGTATACAGAAACGATGATCACCTTGATTCACCCGCATGCCGACTCCGGGCGTGTGCGAGTGGTCATTCAGCTTACTAGAATGCCAATCTCATCGGACCGCGAATGGACTTGAGGATTGACATACTTCTAACGCACCTTATCATCCGATTGATAACTAATACATAAAACTACTTCAAGTTACGTTGGCGATCGTGTTGTCACGAATCGATCGAAGACATGCTATAGTAATCGGGTTTTCGGTGGGTGTGAGAGACATGGCTGAGACACTTGTGGCGAATTCCCATGTGTGTCGCAGTTCATAGGAATGTAAGCTTCATTGATGTCATGTTACCAGAGCCGACCCTCTTCGCTCTCCGAAATATGTGAATTGATCATAGCATACTTTGAAAAAGGATAATGTCCTACAGTACCTTCTACGCAGGAGACGATCAGGACGTTTATTCGTGATAAGCTTAATTTGATCGTCAGCCAACCCGGCAGGACCCGTCATTACGCGGCTCAAGGAATCGTCCATACACACCCTCCTCGGGCGATGCAATCTAATGCAGGACTGAATAGTACGTGTAAAAAGTAGTGGGGTGAATTCAGGGGCGGGGTTGATTCCATGTTGTTACCCCTGTCACTGGTAGCTTGGGTAGCATTGTATGCACATGCAGCTGCAGCTGGGCTCAATTGGGGAATATTCTGGCAACTCAGCTAAGCCGATATACTACGGGCGTGGCGTTAACAGATGGTAGATCACCTTGTCGACTCGGGAAAGCCTCAGTATTGCTCACACATCTTCATGGTCTACAATGGGATTTGATGGTCATAGTTGGACATACATCTGTTTACTAGGGCTTTGGCATTGGGGAACACAAAGAGTTTATTGCGGAAAGCTGTAGTTGGTGCTCGAAATAATGATATAAGCGCCGTTTTGAAATTTGGGTCAGCATCACTAAGTTCGTCTAACTGACAGTAATTTCAATTGACACAATATCATCACGAAGACCGCCTTTTTCCTGATTCTAGTCCTCTCAAGCTAAGATGAATACTACTCTGAATGAAGGTCTACTGAGTCTGCCTCACGGTAGTTCCAATGCTATTCTGCTCGGAATCGCTATAGCGGCTTTAACTGTCGTGTTGCAGCTATACGATTCAAATGCGAAGAGCAAGTACCCTCTGGTAGGAGCTGATCTGAAGAACTACTTCTTTCGGGCGATACGTCCGCGCCAACACTGGTTCAAACATGGCCCAGAAATCATCCATAGCTCATTCAAGAAGTTTCCAAATACCATCTTCACTTTGCCATCTCTTGATCGCACCTCTATCGTCCTGCCACCACGATTTCTGCCAGAAATCAAAGAGCTTCCGGGCACTGTTGGCAGCAACTCCCATGCCACCTCAGATGTAAGCATGATGATGAAATCGACCTCAATCGAATGAAGTGTATGTTGACACGTCGTTCTTGTTAAAGTTCTTCATCGGGAATTGGACTACGCTAGATTATGACATCTTTGCTCATGCTACGATCGATGCTATCAAGGCGCAGTATATCGCCAGGATTGGCCAGCAAATTGGACCTGCCTCGAATGAGGCTTCATATGCGTTTATTAAGCATTTCGGCCGATATCAAGGCAAGTCTTTCTGCATTGTCGAGAATGAAATGGTGCCAGAGAAATACCACTAACACCTGTTACAAGACTGGACTCCTATCGCGGCGCAGCCTAAGATCTTAGAGCTCGTTACACAGATGGTGGCTCGAACTATTGTTGGACCTGATATCTGTCGTGACCCAGAATGGGTTCCAGCTGTGATTGGATATGCACAGAACGTCTTCATGGGAGCAGTCACTTTGAAACTAGTACCCAAGATAGCATGGCCGCTCGTGTCCCTCTTCACACCCCATACGTACCGCATTCATCGATGCCGCCGCACAATCAGACGGCTCGTCCGCCCAGTGATCGAACAGACACTAGCATGGCGCCACGAACATCCGCAGCTATGGGCGGCCAAGGTCAAGAACGAGGAGATGACAACCTTGGAATGGCTCATTGAGACCTCGAAGCCCGGAGAGACCAACGTGCCGCAGATGGCACATCGGCTCACAGGTGTTAGCTTCGGTGCAGCCCACACCACTTCAAACACTATCACCAATGCCCTCATGGATCTGGCTAATGACTTTGAGCGATGGGCTCCTCCATTACGGGAGGAAATCGAGAGCATTGTGGGCCGTGATTCCTCACGTCTGACGAATGCGGATCTATCCAAGATGTGGAAACTCGACAGCTTTTTGAAAGAATCGCAGAGATTCCACCCACCCTCGAAACGTAGGTACACATGTTATGCCTTTTACAGCTGCCTAGACTCTAACGAAAAAGCTAACTCGGAGGTTACAGTGTCCGTTAACAGGAAGATGATGAAAGACCACACTCTATCCTCAGGGGAAGTGCTACCGAAGGACGCACACATCTCCTTCGCAGGCGTGCCCATGTCTCTCTCTGAACCCACCTTTGAGAACCCGGAAGCTTTCGATGGGTTCAGGTTTGAGCGACTGAGACGCAATAAGGAGACGGACCACAATGGCTTGCAGTTCACTTCGTCGTACTCCGGGAGTCTGCACTTCGGACACGGAAGATACATGTGTCCGGGAAGGTTTATGGGCAGTCTGATCAGCAAGCTGCTTATCATTGAATTCCTGCAGCGCTATGACCTGAAGTTGAGCGGGCAGCGCCGACCCGAGAATATCATGTTCTTTGATATGGATATTCCTGATCCTAAGTATGAGATCATGTTCCGGGATAGGACGGCATGAACTGAGATTTGTTTCTGCATGTGTATCTAGGTAGTTAGGATGTCTTCGGTCGGCAAAGCAAATAGAATGCTAAATCTTGGAGATACTTGAGGAAAGGGATGCGAGATACAAGGCACGGTTACTTAGGTAGTCTTTATCAGAATGAGAGCTGTCCAGTCTACCGTAATTAGAACACCCGTGTTCAAAAGTTTTTTCCATTTCGTTACTGAGCCAAAGTGATATAGTAGATTTGACGAAACTCACTGAAGACTACAAAATATCACATAAAAAGGGGGATGGCGAGGGCATAAGCGGGGTTGAGCTATGAGCAGGCCAGTCTTGGCATCTACATCAACGCACTAGTAGTGTGAGATCTTATGATAGACAGGATACACGCGCTATGAATGCGAACTTGGAAATGATTATTCATACGATCGATAGTGTAATTCGCAACTTGAGCGTTATACATTGTCAATTATAAGAGCTATAGATATTCAGGTAATTACGCAGGACTTGAAACTCTATGGCGTGCAAATTTATTTCTCGCCAACCCCCTGTGCATCACCCCTAACTTGAACCAGTAATATTGGCCGCAATCTTCTCTGCCAGAGCATCTATGAAGAACTGTCAGCATCATACAAACGAAATGGACTTGGATCTACAAGCACTTACACACAGTTCCCATCGGATGTCCCGCCGGCACGAACGGGAAGGCAGAGGCATCAACGACACGGAGACCTTTAACACCGTAGACTCTAGCCGCCGAGTCAACGACCGCCATGGTATCGTTCGGCAAGCCCATCGCACATGTGCACGAAGCGTGAAAAATGGTCTGAAAGCTCTGCTTAATAACCTGTTCGATCTCCGCGTCGGTGGACACCCCTAGCCCGGGAAACGCCTCTTCGTCATCGGCCCTGAAGGGACGAATGGCAGTAGAATTGAAGAACTCGCGCGCGCGCTTGAAGCCGGCAATGGCGACTTCGACATCTGCCGCGTCGGAGAAGTAATTGGGGTTGATGACGGGGAGGACGGCGTTGTCTGCCGAGGTGATGGTCACGTTGCCCCGCGATCGCGGCTGCGCGAGCGCTACTCCCATAGTAGCATACTGGGAACCGTCGCCCGGATCGCTGCCGCCGGAGATATTCTGGTAGCCGAGATAACCTGCGATGGCGAGGTATTCGATCTCGGGCCAATCTGCAGGATACTCGGCGAGAGAATCTAGAGTTTCGGCCGAGAAGGTGCTTCGGATGGACTCGGGAAACTTCTCCCATCCAAGAATGTCGTTGGAAGGATTGGTGAGTATTCCCGACGCGCTTTGTTCGAAGTCTTTGGCTGCTTTAGCTGCGTATTCCGGACTTGAGACGAGAGACGAGGTTGTTGTTCCGACTACTCTGTACGCTGGACCGAAATAGAGGTGGTCTTGCATGCCCTGGCCCACGCCGGGTCGGTTGGCGATGATTGGAATATCAAGCTTCTTCAAATTCTCTGCTGGACCTACGCCCGATACCATTAAAAGCTGGGGCGAAGCAAATACTCCTGCTGAGATGATGACTTCTTTGGAAGCAGTCAGTACGTAGCGGCTGCCTAGTGTATCGACTTCGACTCCGGTAGCTCTTTTTTCCTCATCGAACAAAATCTTCTTGGCTTGACTCAAGGTATAGACCGAATGGTTAGGGTAGTCTAAAGCCTTCCTCAGAAAGGAGGTTGCAGATGAATCTCGAGTCTGCGTCTTGGCGTCAATGGTAGACATGACGTAAGACTGCCCCAGAAGCGCACCACTCTGGAACCCTTCGATGGGTTTCATTCCCATCTCCGTGAGGCCGTCAGTGGCCCATGACGCGAAAGAGTTGGCGTAGTTTGAATATGTCACTGAAAGCGGTCCACTGCAATCACCCATGACGGAAGTGTCAAAAAGTGGTGTCGAGTTGGCGAAGCGGAGGTCACTTGGAGGAGTGAAGCATATGCTTTTTTGGTAATACGGAAGCATATTCTCCCACGTGTAACTATCGTCCGCCACGGCGTCGGCCCACATCTTGCAGGAGCCGACAGTTGGCCGCTGGTATATCATGTAGTTCCTGGCTGAGCAGCCGCCGAGGGTCTTGCCCCGTGCGTAATGCAGCTCTGTGTTAAGAGCATACTGCAAGAAGTGTTAGTTCATGCTGCTCAGGTTCCATGGCCGTAAGTTGATGCTTGATACGTACCGGTTGGGGCGTGGTGACATAGCCCCAGTCAATAAGTGGTTGCCAGTCATCTTTGGCTTTGGAGATCCACATGTTATCATAGCCTGGTACCTGGCTCAGATTCCCGTTGCCGAGCTCATAGAATGTGCCGGCCTCGACAACGGCGACACGGCCGCTCTGCTGTTCTGCAAGGCGTGTGGCTATGGTAAGGCCAGCGTTACCGCCTCCGACCACTATGTAGTCGAAAGTTGCATTCTTGCTGGGGATGCCAAAGGAGGAACCTAAGAGACGAGATGCTGCGGTGACAGACGCGAATCCGCAAGCGGCGGTTACATAACTGCAAACCGAACGAAGACACATTTTGACTATTTTAGTCGAATTACTTCATAGTCTTGGTAGGTGATCACTCCTACCTACCAGTTACTCCTCGAATTTATACGGCAACTTGGTCATCAATACCCAGCTCGGCTCAGGTTTTTTTTTCCTTTTAGCTCAACGCCTTTAGTATATGTCGCTGAGCGGTGTAAGCTGAGCCTCGGCCGAAGCCTCAAGTATTGGGCCCTGACCAAGAGGGCGATACTCATCCCGGACGGTATTCCATGGTAGTAGGGCTCTAGGGGGATCTCCGTGACTCTTAGGGCCAAAGCAGCATCACAGGCTGCTACAATGTACACCGCGATACTTAGACATACCAGCTTGGCCTTCGTTCAAAGTCTATCAACCACCTTCGGTGTATACGTATGTAGAAGCTGGTAGCCAAGCGTACCGGCTGGGTATACGAGGCATTTGGAATAGACGGCGATCCGTGTCAGATGTCTATGAAGATCCGCTCATCTCCATCCCGAAGTGCAATTCGCTGCTCGATGTCGCAGATATGCCATCTTGTCTCCTGTTCCGCCCCTACGTTGTCGTGGTAAGGGGCTCTGCAGTGGGTACATGCACAACTGAAAGTCGGCACAGAATGTCGCGGGCACTAGCCGTAGCGTATGGGAGCGGTAGCTAGCCGGCGGACCCGGTCCGCGTGCGGGAGCGGGCTTAGTGTAAATGCATCCGAGCCACCCCTCCCGGCTCTGCCCGGCAGTGCGATCGTGGTCTAGCTCTGATCATGCATGTTCGCTCTCCGAACAGCAGCAAGGCGGCAGTGATAATCGTTTGTGAGACAACTATCTAAGGTGTGGCACACGTATAGCGTATATGTGTAGTACCTATGCAAGTTGTAGGGGCATATTTCCGTCGCGGGCCTGGCGGACAGAGAACGGTGCAGTCAGACACCCGTCCGTCAGGATGGACCCCTCGGACCATTTTGAATCCGACAATCAACGTGTTACTTACCTGTGTGGGTAGAACACTATGTAAGTGGCGTACCAACTTGTCGGGAAACTTGCTGGGATCGGCAACATCCGTTTATCCGATTTGTGGGCGACGTGGTTGATCATGTATTTATCACTATATTGGAATTCGTGCGCATGAATATGGGCAGCTAATGAAATCACGATGCCAGTGTTGCAGCCATAGCTCTATACTATTATCTATCTACACCACATAGCTACGCGTAATACGCTTACAGCTCGCCTTCAAGCTGTTTTACCTTAGTTTATGTGACAATGTCGTACCGGTATATCTATTACTACAATCAAAGAGATGTACCAGTACCTGGTGGCATGAAAAAGGGGGGCTGAGGTAAGAATGACAACATTTTGGCTGTTGGCGAGGACAGTAAGGACAATACCCCGCCACCCCACTGCGTCTGCATTGCGAGCAGGGATCTGTACCAAGGCCAGACAAGGCACCGGCCACGAGCAGTCGGTGTTACCCATTTATCACCGATTGAGACAACATATCACAAGTTGTAGGTATTGTCTTTTGTTGTCTCTTAAACGAAAGAGAGATTTCTCACAAGTCGTCAGGATCTTCTCATCTTCTCCCTTCCTCTTACCTCTGTACCTTGCTCCCCATTTCCCAACGCCTATTCTTTACCCTCCAGTCAACTCTGACCCCTTATTGCTCACAACACCACTTATTTCTACTTCTATCAAGGGGGAAAAAAGCACAATCATGTCGTCCCCAGTCTGGCTTATTACTGGAGCTTCCAATGGGCTGGGTCTCGCCTTGTGTCTTCGCGTTCTTCGCGGTGGCCATCAACTCGTCGCATCCGTGCGCAGCAAAGCCAAGTCTGCCGATGCTGTCCAGAAGATTGAACAGGCAGGAGGTTCGGTCATTGAGCTTGATATGACTGAGTCCCAGACTAGCATTGCGTCCAAGATAAAGGCCGTCGGTCACATTGATTATCTTGTCAACAACGCTGGGTACTCTATCCTAGGTGCTTGCGAGGATATCAGGTAAGCATGAGCTCGGTTTTGATGTGACATAGGTTAGCTAAGCTTGTGAAAAAGTGAGAAAGACGCAACTCTCCAGATCAACACCAACTTCTTCGGCCCCTTGTACACAACACAAGCGGCCCTCCCGGTGATGCGGGCTCAGCGCTCTGGCACCATCGTCATGGTCTCAAGCGGTGCGGCTCGAGATCCTCTGCCTTCATGCTCTTTATACAGTGCTTCTAAAGCTGCTCTCGAGGCTGCATCCGAAGCGCTCGCGCACGAGGTGGCACCTCACAATATCCGTGTGCTAATTGTCGAGTTTGGAAACTTCCGCACCAACTTTGTTAGCGCTGTAAGTCTGCCAGGAACCCTGTCTAGTATCATATGGTATGCACCCCACTGACTCTCTACGATGCAGCTATCCGACGCCAGCGGGGACGCTGACAAGGTGTCACCCCACTATGACAACCCGGTGGGCGCGGTGATGCGGAAGTTCTTGAGCATCCACGGGAAGCAGATGGGAGACCCTGAGAGGGGTGTAGACCGTGTCTTTGAGGCCGTCACGGGAGAAGGGATGGCTGGTCAAGTTACGGGCAAGGTGTCAAGGCTTGTTCTCGGAAAAGACTGCTACGACCGGATGAAGAAGGCTAGTGAGAAGTCACTGGTCGAGTTAAGCTTGCAGGAAGAGATTGCCAAGAGCACAGCATTTCCTGAGTAAATCCGATCCATGATGCCATATACCTCCATTTCAATAGCTTAGAACAGTCGTAAAAAGAATATAATTCTCTACATCAGTCAATTTACATAATATTCCAATGAGCTATTGATATTGAGTAGCCCTACTACACTTCCCGGACGCCACCGTAAGCAACAGCACTACGCAATCGCAATAGGGACCACGACGAATAGAGAAGAGAAATGCTCAAGGGCACGCAACAAGACCTTCGGGCATATCAGCTTAGGCTTACGCAACCAGGCAATTGTAGGTTATCTGCCCTAACGCAGTTGAGTAAAACGAAGTCTAAACAGCCTGCGTGTCACTTGCCAGCCAAACTAGCATTGAGAAAAATCCCATGCACAAGAGAATTGCATGCCATGCTTTCGACGTAATCAACCCAATTCAATATTTCGAGGTACAATCTACACTATCATATAATGATTTAGATAGTATAAACTAATTTCTCCCCGCTAACCTTCCCAAGTTTCATCTCCTCAAGGCCTTTCAAAACCCCTTCTAACCCAGCCCCAGTCCTATTCATCACAGCGCGAGGCGGTTTAATAGCACCGCTCTCGAGCAACGGCTGCGTGAGCTCCAGAAACCACTGGTAGTACTTCATCTCCTCCACATCCGGCGTCACCGGCGTCTGGCCGAACCAGAAATAGTCCTCGCCCTGTGTGTCGTACCCGCGCATGAAGGGCTGGCCCTGCACCATGGGATTCGTCTTGGTTAGTAGCTCGTAGTCCGCCGGCATGATGGTGCCGTATACCCCGGCCTCGGCGTCAGACATGGCTGCGGCGCAGATGCCCGCACCATCGCCGGTGCAGTCCCAGGAATACGCCAGCCGGTTTTGTGTAAATGCTTTTATGTCCGCGGCGCAGGTGGGCGACTTGTAGTCGAATGCCGCGTCGGCCCCGAAGGATTTGACTAGATCGAAGTTGTGCGATGAGCATGTCGTGAGGACTTGGAAACCTGAGAGCTTCGCGAATTGGATCGCGACCATGCCTGTCGCTGTGCTTCCGCCGTATATCAAGATGGGAATTGGCGCCTTGCTTGGCTCCGACGGGGGCGGGAGATTAAGCCGCATGTACATCCCCTGTCCCTGTGAGGTTGCGTCAGACGAGCAATTGTGTTGGAAGAGATCCAAAAAGAGAACAGCATGGAACTTCATCTTATCTTACCACTGTCATGATGGCTGTGCCTAGCGTCGCGGCTTCTTCAAATGTTAGATTGTCTGGCATTTTCCTCTGCACAGAAGCTTTCGCAATCGCATATTCGGCAAATGCACCAGACTCGTGATTCGCTCGGTTTCTATTTGAAGCGCGTCAGTTTCTTTCACAAGAAGATAAACAGACGGTGATGGTACAGGGTAGTATCTACTCACGAGCCATGCACCCAACCCGTTATGCGGTCTCCGATCTCGAAATTTGTGACCTTGCTTCCAATCTGCTCCACGACACCGGCATAGTCGCATCCCACTCTGCACCCAACATCGGTACCGCCTAACGCTACGTGCTTCCAGTCTGTCGGGTTGAGCGCGACAGCCTTCACCTTGACAAGGACCCAGTCGTCACGCACGATGGGCATAAAGACGTCTTCGACGCTGGCTTTTCCTAGAGACGTTACGACGACAGCTTTGGTCGTTGCTGCGCCGTGGCCAGCTGACACCGCCCTTGTTGTTGCCATATTTCATTTATTTCTGTGATAGGTGATTGCTTTCCACAGCTTGAACTTTGAGATTAGAATAACTTGATCCTCATGAAGGCTTGAGATTTCTTTGCAGACGTCGGTATCTAATCAGACTTCGCAACTGGCTTGTCGCTATCACATGCCCAGGTCCGTGATCTTCTTGGCATGGACGTCGTGGCCTCCCAGACAGAGCTGCTTACTCCGCCGTGATCGTGTTTTGAGCTGATAGTTAATCGGCTATGATTTTGGCATGTATGTGACGCCATTGCCATATGAGACTTGTCGTTCAGAGTATGGTGCAATTTTTTCAAATTTGTCATCAATTCAGACATCGTGACTGAACCCGAAGGGCGCGTAAGCAAGAGGCCAATGGCAAATCTACGAATTGCTGCATTTCCCATTATCAATACACGAAATTCAGAGGTACCAGTACTTCAGGCTCAAGACACAAATCACTTCCATTTCGAGTTCATGTATAGGTACACACGAGGCTCTACTTCTGTAGTTTCTTTTTGGTCGAAGTGAAGCCTACGTCGCCATGCGACTTGGCGCGCGATGTAGGTACTGTGCATACAAACAAGCTTTTGTGAGAGATCGACAGGGTAGGCTCGTGGGGAAAAAGATGGAGGGGTGGGGAGGGGGTGAATCTAAGAGAATAAACAAGTATGCCACTAATGCATGCATGCAGATGAATGTTGTAAGAGGCGTTCTTAACGAGAGATACCGGTAATTGTACGCGTAAACATCGACATCTGAAATTTCCATTTACATATCCATCTACAGATCCGTTTACCTCATTCAAATTCAGTATAGCACTGATGTACCCCGCTACATCCTATTTTGACCATTCCCAAAGCCGATCTGCGTTAGCTGAGGAACCCTGCAGTTGTTCTGCAGGCTTGTTTTGTGTTGCATTGCATCGTGTGGCTTGAAGGATGAATTCTATAAACGTATAGGATTCCCTTCTTAATACCTAAGATCAGACTAAGGTCAGAAGGTCAATCAACCCGAAGATCACCATGCCACGATTCACATAGAATTCGGATCGAATTTAAACCGATCTTACCTTTGACGATTCAAGGGTGACCGAGCAGATCAGCCGGATATATCCGGTTCACCTCGAAGTGATACGTCATTACATCACGGGTTTTACAAGGCTACAGAGGCGATGTTCGTCTTACTATGGTATCGGCTGAGTCTGGCAGCCGATGAAGAGGATCAAGACGGCCCGAGGGATAGTTAGACAAATCCGTGCAACTGTACTTCGCCCATGTCAACAATGGGCGAAATTTGACGTTACTTTACTCCTCTTCACACGCTGGAGGCTCTTCAAATCCCATACTGACACGAGCTTAAGTTTCATATTGTATGTTCTAAAGTGAGAAAGCCATGGCGGAACTAGACACAGACGTTCTCATTATAGGGGCTGGCATGTCTGGCCTGGGCTTTGCTGTTCAACTTATTCGCACGTACGGGACACGAAACTTTGAAATCATCGAGAAAGCTGACCACATTGGGGGCACATGGTGGGCGAACACCTATCCAGGCTGCGGAGTTGATGTATGACATCCTCCCTGAACCCTTGAGTAACTAGGACTGACACGTCGTAGGTTGTTGCACATTATTATTCATACTCCTTTGAGCTGAACCCCAACTGGTCGCGCAAGTATCCTTTGCAGCCAGAAATCCTTGCGTATTTCGAAAAGGTTGCTGCCAAATACGACATCGGCAAGCATACCAGATTTCGCTCAGTCGTACAGTCGGCTCGTTGGGAAAGCGCTTCGGGGACATGGCTAGTCTCTATCAAAGACTTAGCCACCCTGGAAACGTATAATCGCCGCTGCAAGATTCTTGTAACTGCTGTTGGTGTGCTCTCTGTACCCAATGATTGCCAAATACCCGGCGCTTCAAAGTTCAAGGGTCCGTTATTCCACACGGCAAGATGGGATCACTCCTTTAACTGGACAGATAAGGAATTGGTCGTAATCGGTGAGTGTTTCTCTACATTTATGCTGTAGCTAACATCCGAGGCCTTGTAAAAGATAAATGATGCATAATCGTTGTGTGAACAGTTTCGTTTGAGCTGTGTATCAGACAGCGTTGACACAATACAGGAAATGGCTGCAGTGCATCGCAAGCAGTGCCCGTCTTGAGCGAAGGTAAAAAGGCAGCAAAAAAGGTTACGCAGTTTGCTCGCCAGGCGCAGTGGGTATTTGAGCGACCCAATCCCACATATTCAACCTTTTTCAAGTGGACTATGCAATGGATTCCATTTGCTATGCGCATCTATCGTGGTATACACAACTACTACGCCGAGTACGACTTTCAGAGCTTCGACATTATTACCGGAGCAGGCATACGAAAGATGTACGCAGACTATCAGGGCGCTTACATCCGACGGGTTTCGCCAGAAAAGTATCAGAAGTTTCTTGTTCCTGATATAGAAGTTGGCTGTAAGCGTCGAGTAATGGATACTGACTACCTTGAGTGCCTGAATCGCGATAATGTGGAGCTTATCTATGAAGATTCTATTGAAGAAATCGTTGATAATGGCGTACGTACGAAATCTGGGAGAACTATCAAGGCAGATGGTATTATCCTTGCGAACGGGTTTCAAGTGGAAAAACCACTGGTTTCTCTCAACCTATATGGTGAAGACGGAGTTAGCGTGGCAGAACATGTAAGTCAAGCGTTAGGGGCGAAAACCTGTACCTGGGTAGATTAAGAAGATGAAGGACCACCTGCTAATATCCTTTTCATAATTAGTGGAATAAAGTGAGCGAGGGATCAGCATCGTCATATTTCGGCACATGCCTCTCTGGCTTCCCAAACATGTTCATCATGATGGGACCCAACACCGCTTCCGGTCATGGTTCAGTAACCTATACTACGGAATGCCAGATCAACTTCACTATGCGGGTTATCAAGCCCATTTTGAATGCTCTCAAGTCTCAACGATCCAGATACCTTCATGTTTTTGGGAAGAAAGCCGATGTTGTCCAAGTTAGGTCAGAGGCAGAGCAGACAGACATAGATACTGTCCAAGAGAAAGCCAAGAAACTAGTATGGTCGTCGGGCTGTTCCTCTTGGGCTTTGGACTCACAAGGAAGGAACACTACCATGTACCCAGACTTCCAGTACAGATATTGGCTTAGGAGTGTCTTCATTGCGTGGGAAGACTTTGAGCTCTCCAAGTCAACACGGCTCTCGGCTCCCTTGGTAACGAACTGGTCCAAGATAGGAAGTTGGTTGATTACAGCAGGAGCTGTTGCAGCTATTGCCGGACTCTTGCACCGAGCATGCACTGAAATCCATGTATACTGAGCTACATTCAAACGATGATTGTTGCTGAAATAAACAATAGAAGAGCTCCTTTGGTCATCATGCATACAATATCACTATATAAAGAGCGATTAAAACAAAGACCATGATTTCATACGACGATAGCTACGGATAAAGACCCATGGAATGAAAGTAATAAGAGAATGCTTTCGTGAAGAAGACTAGTCACAAAGCTATTGTTTAATAATAATTGCATTTAAGGTGGAGAGCAAACCGCGATAGTCCCGATCAACTTTTAGCACTCGACTATTAACCTTACTTCAAGATCACGACATACAATATACCCAATCCAATCATGAATAATAACACCAAGCTAAACGAGTCTACTGGGATGCATGCACCCCGTTGGCTTTATCTTCCCGGCGGCTGTATTCTCGAGCTAGATGGGATTGGCCAACCATCCGCTCCCAAGATCCAACACACACTTAGAGGGATGTGTTTCTGCCACAACGAGCATGAGATTATAGTTAAATATCTGATTATGTGGCAATATAAGTACTCTGAAGAATTGGGTCTTGATAAGATTGTCGCTACGAAGATGGTGTGTCACCTAGTTAAACAGTGGCAGCTGCAAGTCCCGCCATGGTTGGAAAGCAACGTACAACAGTGGAAAGACCTACTTGAGAGTCAGCCGGCAAAATAAGTAGATTGATTCTAACAGATTGATGGATGGCAGATATTAGAGTTTAAATCGCCGAATACATTACTATATATGAAAATTGCCTGTCTCCTTTTAGAGTATACAATCAATTGTCAGCCTGAGCAAAGTGGAAGTCTCTACAGTAGCAACGCATCCAATTTATAGAACGATAATTGCTAAACCTCACCAAAATTGAACTTCCACAGAACTTTCAAATTGTCAATTAGTTTCACTTATAGCAACGATTGTTGAAGTATCGGCATGGAAGACCCCAAGACTGGGGTTTCCTCATGTTACCCACCTGAACTAAACCATACTAATTGAGTAGCATGGGTATACAGCACAGCTTATTCCTACTAATAACAAAATCGTTTACTACTAAATACGAAGCGGGACCATAGAGAATTCACGGAGCGCTATGAACCTTACTGTGAATGTCCCACTTGAAGCAGGCTGCACAAGCCACTAATGTAGGACTCCCCAAAGACCCCAACTCCAACTGGCCGTTGCTGGCATTGGGAAGTAAAAAAGAATAACCGAACAAGGTGCGCCAGGGGAAATGCGACGTAACTGACCATTTGGTAAGACTAAAGGATTATATGGCGTGTTACAGGGGGGGGGGGGGGGGGGGGGGGGGGGGGGGGGGGGGGCGGGGCGGGGGGGGGGGGGCGGGGCAGATGCAGAGTAGGGGGGGGATGGT